TACCCTCTCGAAACCCACACTGGAATCGGTCGAGCAGATTGTGTGTTTCAAGAAAATGGAAAAGTCAGCGGTTTATCATCTTTTCAAAACGTTTACAAAGGCAGCTTATAAGTGAAATGGGCCTATTATAACTCGAAACTGAGGAAGGGTCCTTGCCCCGTTTCAAAATAGGCATAACAGTAGCCTGTTTCCAGAAGGTAGGGATGGTGCCAGAAAGCCAGATAGCATTGTATAGAGAAAGTGAAGTTTTTCGCATTTTGAGCGGCAGGTTTTTCAACATTTCATATGTGACACGGCCGTAGCCTGGGGCAGAATTACTGCAGGATTTTAGTGATGTTTGTAGCTCAGCTAAGTTGAAAAGTTGGTTGTATGCCTAGTATTTTGTACATTAGTGTTCTAGTTTCTGCTTTTCTAATCTTGCTTTATATCTTTTGAACGCTTCAGTGTAGTACGACGAGCTAGACACCTGCTCGTAGTGTGCACCGAGGAAGTTCGCCTGAGTGGGAGTGAGTGTACTTGTCTACTTGCTACTTTACCAACCATGTTCCAGACTTTAGCTTCTTGTGTATATGAATTGATAACTGATAAAAATGCGTGTCAGCTTTCTCTTCTGGCCTGCCGACATGTTCTCCTGCTTTTTGCTGCTTTCTCCTGCTTATTTTCTTAAAGCTGTGAACCTATGACCTTTTTATATCGCCGTTTTTCTTTGGTACAAGATACTAATTCACCCCAGCATTTCTTCTTGGTGGATGCTTCCTTTTCAAATATTTCTCTCAAATTGCGTATCCATGTTTTAAATTTTCTTATCAAGTTAGCAAAACCTACTCTTTTGTTTGATCAGTAAAACAATTGCTACCTTTCTTTTTTTAACAGCCGTGCTATCTTCTCCCAGGACGAGAAATATGCTAAACCATTAATTAAAAATCTGCACACACGTTTTCTGTACTTCCCAACATTCTCTTTGCTTGAAGTTACTGCTATTCCGTACTATTGTGCACATTGATTGCCTCCTTCTGGCTCTGTAAGGTCATTCAAGATACACCGAATTACTTACGACATGTATATTATCACTTGAAAACAAAGACTTAAATCGATAAAAAAAAAAACCCTTTGAAGATGACCTCACCTCTAAATCAAACGGAGTTGACTATGCTCAATGATTCACAAGTGTCAACACTTTTCCTGAAACACTGAGGTTGGTGTAACCAACACGAAATGATTTCGTCGATGTGAAGCCACAAAATAAAGGATGCTTCTATATTTGTGAATGCGACTTCTTTAAAAGATGCAAGTACTCTGTGACATGCTAAGTGCACTAATAAGTGCCAGATAGTGGTAATAAGCATAGGTGCCGATATGTGTCAACTGTCCCAACTTCTTACATGCCCTCTAATTATGGTACATTTTACTCGTGCTACCACTCAAAGCATGGAAATGGCTATCCTAGCCTAGACATTTGGACATCCGAGACTAATTGTGCAATCTTTCTAGGCTGAACTGCTCTTAAACATTGCTACAAGGCACATCATCGGAAGATGTGAGTTAATATAGCAAGGGCCATATCCAGAGACCACCGACCTTCGGTGAGAGTGTTGCTTTGTGGGACATAGGATCTTGTACATCGGCTGACTATTGTAACTACATGCCCACGTTGCCTCAACCAGCCAATTGATGTGTACTTGAAACGTGTCTTTGAAAGTGGGTTTCAGAATATGAACCTGAAATGAATGCTTGCACACAGATTCGATTCCAGATATAGACAATGTGTGCATGAAAGAAACTGATCGGCCACCAATAATGCTTCTCAGTATAACCTGCGATATTTCATTTCTGAATGCGGACCCAGCATGACAATTCCAGCAGCAATAGTACTCTGCTCAGTGCAATAATACTGTTCGTGATGGCTGTATTTCATTGCCCAAAGGCAAAAAAATCGCTTATGCAGTGCGCATTCATTGCACGCTTGAAGAATCCAAGGCATTCAAAACTTTTCCTTTGATCTTCTTGCAGAGAAAGCAAAAGGTGTGATCTACCACTGATGTAATTATGGTATCAATGTGCGCAAAACTGCATTTCAAAAGTTTTGTTCTACAGGTTTTCCCGACAGTGTAAAGGAAAATTTCACGCACCATTCACAGTGGGCACTTCAATGGTACATGGAGAATTTCGGCACACAACATACAACACCCTATCTACGTTGAACCCGCAGAGACCCTTTGTACACATTAGTGTAGATAACTTGTTTTTGCTAGTTATCTCAACAAGAAGCCGAGAAAGTGCAAGATAAACTGGTTTATATAAGCTGAGCCTCCAACACTCTGCTAAAGACACTACCATGTTCGATGCACTCCTTTCCTGAAGCCACGCTGTGAGCAGAATTTTGTACTGCTTGGAATGAACATGACCAAAAATTAAATCACACGATATTTCCTGCCTGAGATTTGATTCTAATTATGCCAAAGCACAATTTAATGATCAAATGTGCAACTACCGTTGAACACTCGCAATCAAGAAATTAAGAAGTTTTTTTTTTCGCAACAGAATATCAAGTGCTCTGAAATAACATGTAAATTTCGCACATATATAGGCAATATTTCCCAGTTCGCACCTGGAAGGATCAAGGTGGAAGCGACAGATGGATATGCATCGATTTTTTTCAGTCGCGCTCCATCTCAAGTAAGCAAAGAAGTAACCGACTTGGAAGACATATTGAAAGGTATTTACCAAAACACAATTCCTTTGTGCTCCCCCCCCTTTCCCACTTTTCTTCAGAGCACTTGGCTCTTTTTGGCGTGACTACTGGCCTAGACTAATGTATTATGCGGGAGCGATTCTTTAGCGCTGAATAACGTGACCGAGGGAGGAGACGGTTAAGTGGCTTACGCAGACTGCGGAGAGGAGGAGGAAGAAAGAAAAGGAAGATAAAGCTCTTCTAACATAATTGCCAAAAAGAAACAAACGCATCACGCAGGGGCCGCAAGCTCTTTCTTCAATCGACGTGCGAAGCCACACGACTGTACTGTGCATAGCAGACAGGGCAAGCTCTGGCTCAGTCACACACTGCTACGAAAGGCATAATGCGCGTTCGGCGGCTGCTGAGATCACGAAAAAAAGAAACAAATATAAATCAAAAGGAAAAGGCAGCGACCTTCCGGGCAGAGCACAAACGCACGGTGCAGTAGGCGGTTACAAGGAAGTGAGCATTCGCGCGGTCGTGAAAAGAAATAAAAAAAAAACGGTCAAAACGAAAAACGGAGCAGCATAACACGATAAAAAGACGGGAGGGAACCAAAAAAAAAAAAAAGGGGGGGGGGACTTGTGAAACCAAAAAAGTAAACGAAAAAGAGGAAAGCCCGGGGCACCGCCACAGCGAAGCCGACGTGGCCTAATATTGCCGAACAACCCCAACAAATGGTTTGGCACGAAAACGCGAGGCCACGACTTCTTGACCAAAACTGCCTTCACGCCGCAAGTGTCGCCGTATCGGTTACGAGGAATCCGCCCTTGCACACACGGTTTTTGTGTAAAGATACTACAAAAGGCTCTCTTTCATCGAGATAACAGACACACGCCCCGCTAAGGTGGTTCCCGTCTTATCACGAAACTCGACTGACCTAGTGATCATATGTAAGAGGTTTCGACGATAGGGTATCGCGTACCGCACTATTTATTACACATGGAGGTTGGTGTGGGGCGGGCTTCAATTTTCCAGAAAGGCTGCGTCCGTACGCGACGCGTCCGATCATTGTTCCGTGTCGTTAAAATTCGATTACGCAGGCGAAACTTGCGTGGAAGTGACACATGACGAAACAAGCACCAAAACAAAAAAAATCAATAATCGTCATAAAATTGTAAATTTAAGCAATTAAATGCAACAAAGAGGAAGGTTGGAGGGAGCGGTTGTAAAATAAATCGTGGCCCCGAATTCTCAATACTATCGGCCACGAAGCATTTTCGCTCAAAAGGGCCAGAATAAGACGATCGCAATGTCTACACGACCAAATTCCTTCTGGCAGCGGCGTTTTTATTTGCGAGCGGTAGATTATTGCGGAACACGTGGGAGTGTCCTGCTGCAGCGGAAGGCGTAAAAAGAAATGTAGAGGGGCACCGCGGTTTTTCGGGCGTTGCACAAGTTGCCGGTGACGTACGAAAACGAATACTGCTAATAATAATATCACGCCAGCACTGCGACATTGAGTATCGTCGTTCAACAGACCACGTAAACGCCGGCGTTCGCTTCAATCATCGCCGCAATCGCACACACCCACGACGAAAAACGTGAACGCCAGCGCTGCTGCCACTGCAAGAACGCGCGGATCGCGAAGCACAAATGCCTGCCGCTAGACACAACCCTCCGTGACAGAGGCGTGAACGCGACTACGGAGTGGCAGCAGTATTTCACGAAACGCGGAAAAGAAAAAAGGGCTACGCACACCACGAAGTTCATTCCGGGCCCCGTGCACCACCGTCCAATGTCACCTCGCTAGTGGGGCGGCGATAAGGAAAGAAGAAAAAAAGAAAGCACCGCGTGTTTTTTTTTTTTCTATTTGTTTTATCTCGCGCAGCCAAAGACGGCCGAGCCCGCTCTTTCGGGAAGGCAAATTCACTCACCAAATGTGAGGCACAAAATCTCGTACGCCGTAGCCACACGCGCTTCCCGCCGGCCTGACCAAAACTAAGCATGACGGAGTACGATGCAACCATACGATGACTCGGGAGATCGGAGCAGTGTGGTTACCCCCCTCCGCACTACTGAACGTCGGCCTCGGAAAAACGCTCGGAAGGGGTCGAAATTCGCTAGCGCTCTGGCGGCGTCCAGTCGAGGAACACGAGACTGACCCGAGCACGTGAAGCCGGCCGAAACAACACTGATCCGGGCGCACATTTTGGGGCGAAAACTCCAGATTTAAGCCTAAAACCCATAAGCCTACCCCCTCTAGCCGAGGTCTACAATTTCTCAAAACACACCCACCAAATAAAGAATAACTGTGGGACTGTACCTCGTTGTTGGAGACCTTCTTTGATAGGCTACGTTCCCTGGTCCGTGAGTGCTTGGAGATCACTTCACTGTTCGGAATCGGCGCAGGAGAAACGGGAAAATTTGAGCGTAAATCCGTCGATAGGATCCCGTCTATCTCCTGCTCGGAACATGCTGCCATCTTGAATACGCCGAATTAAAAACGGCCCTATGATTGGCTGAAAGTGCCGGCATTTGTAAAACGCTTCTCGATTGGCTGGATAAGACAACTTTTGTTTTTGTTCGTGTTTGCATAATTTGTAAAATTTAAAAGAAAATCAGCTAAGGTAGACCACATTCTTCAGTTTCTTGCAAAGTAAGTTGTTAAAAATTCAAAATCAGTTTTTTTATTTGTTTTATTGAGTAAAAACGGTAGACACGCTTGGTTCATAACTCGGCGAGCCAGTGCTTAAAAGCACGTCTTTTATCGCAAATTTCACGTTTTATCTCGTCAAATACGACTCGCATAACTCATGCCGTGCATATGCTTTGCTCTGATGAATAAGTACCGAGTAGATATTTAAGCTACTCGCAAACTAATAACAGCGCGCGCCATTCCATCGCGAGCGCCATCACAAAGCACGTGACTTTGGGCTACTCTGGCCAATCAAATCGTGCGACGTTTTACACCTTCGAACCAATAGCCGGAGTACAACGAAGACGGGGCCGGGTTCGTTCCCCGGGTTTGTGATATACGGCGAGGGCCACGGTTCACCTGGCGTGATTCATTTCTCGATTCTGGTCTAGGTGTGGGCTGTCCTTTAGCAGCTTCCTTCTCGATCATGTGGCTTCGATCCATCTTCCTGTGCGTGGCTCTTCTGAGCAGCACCGCTTTCGCTACGAATACAAAGGGCAGCGTCTCGTTGCTGACTTCCACATTCGACAAGGTATTTGATATTCGTCGCATCTTCCACCGCCTGCAGAAACCTTGCCAATCTAGCTTTGAAAGTTTACGCTTTGGATAGTGGCGAAGCCAAGTGGTCTTTTCGAGGCGGATGCACGTAATTTTCGCTTGCTGTTTCCGAAACGGAAACGTTGCTGTTAAACCTGGTGCACTTTTTTTTTTCCTTCAAAATCGAAGGGCGCTGATTTCGTTCGTTTTACTCTTCCAGATCGTTCCAAAGTTCAAGGTAACGCTGGTTAAGTTCGATGTCACCTACCCTTACGGAGAGAAGCACGATGAATTCGTCAAAGTCGCCGAGGAGTCTCAAAACACCCCCGATTTCTTGGTCGCCGAAGTTGGCGTTCAAGGTATGGCTCGTTCCTAGCATCTGCCGTTGAAACCGGAGTACAGTGGCGTGTTCCCGGAGGAAACGCTGCCCGTTCGGATCGCATTATCTTTGCCCCTTTTGTATTTTTCCCTTGCTGCATACAGATTATGGCAACAAGGAAAACGCCGACCTGGCCGAGCGATTTGGAGTTAAAAAGGACGACTTCCCCGTGCTGAAGCTGTTCCTCGCCGGTCAGGAGGAGCCGGTGACTTTCTCGGGAGACTTTAAGGCTGACGAGATCAAAGCTTTCGTCAAAAAGAACTCCGGTAAGGTGGCTGTTACGATTCCTTACACGATGGAAGCGCACTCCTTATCGTTGATGCCAATTCTTCGACGCCAAAATAATTTGCGAGTGTTTCTGTAGTGTATGGCGAGCCGCTGTAGAAGGTCTCCCGTGCAACTCAATCCACGTCATCACGACGCGCTGCATAAGCGTTAGTGCCGACCAGGCAGCTCGTGACATTGCCTGCGTCTGGCTTACCCGGGAATTCACGACACTGCGGCGCTTCCTTTCGGTTGGTGTGTCGTTCCCCACTGTAGCACACGTGTTTAATTTAGACGAATAGGCACCCGTATTTCGTTCCATATAATTGGCATAAATTCCATAGCAGCTCGGTAGACCATCTTTGCCGATAATATAGCGTTACAGACTTGTCTCTAGATACGATCTTGATTAGCTGTATTATCTGTCCATATTTTTTTTTCGGTTTTTTCGGCTCGTAAGTGTGTAGCTTGCATGAAAAAAACTGATCTGGTGCCCTTCTCTATGGTATCTCTGTTAGCGCTCCTGTTGTATTGGGGACATTAAACCATAACAACGCCTACTAGTTTGACCTAACATATACACATGTTGCTAGCTTTTATGCAATGCAGAAAACAGCTGTGAGCCCATTCAAGCCTATCCATACAGAAGCAGGGGGGGGGCTCCCCTATTGTGTGCCTTTGACACTGATTGAATGAAAGCTGTAAGGAAAGCGTAGTTCACAATGGCCGAGCCCTATTCTAATACGCACTCTGTTCCTGTTTGGTTAGCGGACTTGAGCGCCAGGCATTGCTGCATGCTTGGAATGTAGCCCCTGACGTTGCCAGTACACAGATCAACAGTACTATTAAAAAAAGGGCCGGTGTCATCAAATTTGTGGCTTAAATTTTTCCTGCGGACATTTTCATTGGCGTCGTACATGTTCTTCATGTGTTCTCCTTATTTATAGATTTCAGTTTTTGGGTGCAGAGTTCAGCACATAGGCCACTGTGTAAAGAGTTTGAGTGCATGGGCTCGCAACACCGTGATGCACTTAGTGCTATATCATCTTTCTCACACACATGCGAGCAACATGTACCTTTAACCCTCACGAAAATTCTGGAGAATGTTAGCATGCACGGTATTTACGTGTAGCTTTCTGTTGTACGGATTTGCCAGACTATGGTATCCACACCTTGTTATGCTTCGTGCAATCACAGTTATGGGTGCGAGTGTTTTTGTTTTCCCGAGTAACATTTGCGATAGTTTTTAAACGCAATGCATTAGGGACCATGACGCTGCAGAGAGAGAGAACACAACTTTATTGTTGATGCTGCGGAGAACTTTCACCTACAGAGAACTCGATAAGTTTCTGCCCCACATATCTGGCCTCTTGCATTGATGGCTATGGCAACCTGGTTTGCTTAAGCAAAGTGCAAGAATGAGCTAACCTTCTATAATGTCTTATTGATATGTTTGCGTGATGATGTAATGCACTTTGCAAAATGTGAGCAAGTTTGGCTGCTTTGCAACAAGATCAGAAATAATGGGTATAGTTCACAGCCAATGCTCGTTCTTATGGATTAATTGGTGTAATATAACTGTGGGTCGCCGCTGGTTGCACGCTTAATGGGGTCTAACAACACTAAAACTTGTCTTGTACTTCCTACGCAATGCAGTCTGTTATCTGTTAGTTGCAATAGTGATTAGTCTCCATCGTGACAATGAGCGTTTAGGCACACTTTTGATGCAAATTAAAATTTTAAATGTTTGCTATGTCTAACACTTTGTGCTTTGCATACTGAGGAAACCTACAGCAGGCTCTTTATAGCCTCATAACTTGATGTCACTACTCCTTTAAGTTTCAGATATTAAATGTGCTCTTGTTTCCATCCCCACTTTGTGGCACTTCTTGTGCAACGATCACGTTATACCTTCACAGTTTAAAAAGAATCTCTTAAAAACAGAGCTACCCAATGATGCAGTCACAATGCACTTGTGCTAAATACAAATTGCTTCCTTGTGTTTGGTTTCTCTTAGCCATTCCTAAAACTACAAAAAAAAAAATAGCGCCCCACCACGGTGGTCTAGTCTTTACTCGGCTGCTGTAGGCCCGTGTGCTCAGATTTGGGTGCACGTTAAAGAACCCCAGGTGGTCTAAATTTCCGGAGCCCTCCACTACGGCGTCTCTCATAATCATATAGTGGTTTTGGGACGTTAAACCCCACATATCAATCAATCAATTACTCTGCTGCTGACCCGCAGGTCGTGGGATCAAATCCCAGCTGTGGCGGCTGCATTTCCGATGGAGGCAGAAATGTTGTAGGCCCGTGTACTCAGATTTGGGTGCACGTCAAAGAACCCCAGGTGGTTGCAATTTCCGGAGCCCTCCACTACGGCGTATCTCATAGTTGCATAGTGGTTTTGGGACGTTAAACCCCATAAATCAGTGAATCATGCAAAAAAAAGAGCTGGCAGCCATCAGAACCACTGCTTCTACATAGTGTGCACTCGTACTTGATTTCTCGGTCACTGATAACGTTCAGAGCATCAGCGAGTGCTGATATCAGCACTTGTGTTATCAGCAAGTGCTCATAAATGCTGTCGTTTTCGCTAGTCTTGCATAGACATTTATCGATTAATCGTCTAATCTTTTGAGACATATTGTTGGGCAAAAGTTAGTAGACCTTGTAGTCAATAGTTTTCGGCATGACTCTTTAGCTTTAATTTCCCTTTGCTGTTAGCTCTTCATGTAACATCTGAACTCTTTCCCCTCAAGTATGTGAGTGGCGTCTGGCTTTTCTTTTAATTTTGGACTGCATGCCTTGTGTTACTCGTACATGATTTCATGTCTGCGCCTCTTCTTGCACAGGTATCAAGCTGCAGCTGAAACACTGTCTTCCCAAGTTTGACGAGCTGGCCACCAAGTTTATGAAGGAAGAAGACAAGACCAAGCAGGAGGCTGTCCTGGCCGAGGCAAAGAAACTTCAGGAGTCGCTCGAAAAGGAGGCTGACAAGAAATCCGCAGACGTCTACATCAAGATGATGCAGAAGGTGTTGGAGCGTGGCAAGGGCTTCATCGACAGCGAGACTGAGCGTGTGAAGAATATCCGCAACGGCAAGATCACCCCGGCGAAGAAGGAAGAGCTCCAGGGTCGTCTCAACATCATCGGTTCCTTCGTGAAAGACGAGTTATGAGAAAGTTGTTACGTGCTGCGTTAAGCGACCATGGGTTTACTTTCGCAAGCGTTTTCCATTTCATAGTCTCCCAGAGTGCTGGACTTCTTCATGTCATGAACACTTTGAAAGGGCATGAAAGCAATCGTTCTTCAAAGAAGAGGACTGCTTCTCTCGCCATTCATCGGTTTTTCTTCCATTTTTCTCAGTGGCTGCTAGTCTAGTTGTTTTTGTACTTCCGCTGGTTGAGAGAGTGCAAGTTCTTTTTTTACTCTGCTACAAAGTTTTGTTGAACAAGTCATTTTTTTTTTCATTGTCACCATAGACCAATTTGTTTTTCAGGGAAAGGCAAATAAAGTTTTTTGTTCATTAAAGGTTTGTCCCGTGTGTTTCAAGCTTGCTAAAGACACTACTTGGAGTCGCTTGTTTGCGAGCTGCATATTAAGCCACATGCTTACTAGGCATATGCTGTATTGTTCCGCAATGCAGGCTTTCATATTGTGATGTTTCAATGCATGCTCTCAGGAGAGCATGCATGCTAAATGAGGTTTTTAGGATATTAAACGGTATATTATTTGGTCCATCCCAAGACTTTCTGCTAAATTTCCCTGGTGAAGTATTTAATGCAACGATCAATGAGCGATGTCTGTGCATTCTATATAATTCATGCAGTCCAAGCCTTCATAGAGCTTATGAAAGTGCAGCTCTATAAAACCACCGAGTACAGTTTTCTTAAAAGCGTTGTAGCACCCCGCACGCTGGAGAACTCGAGTCCATGTATCAAGCATCTAAACTCTCTGAATCCCTCATTCATATTTCACGACCCTCACTAATGAATTGCATTTGAGCAGCATGTGAGTTTCAAGAGTGCTGTGAAAAAGCCTAGGGACCACTCCACAGTGGTTGACGCCAGATTCCCACGAGCTGCGTTAATTTTACCTGCATCAGCAGAGTAAAAAACGTTATTGTGAAGGAGCACATGCTTTTTAAGTATCGTCTTTGCTCCCAAAACATGTTATTTGTCTTGGAGTGGCATTCAATAACCAACTTGTAAGGGAAGTACAGAGACGAGAGTACGATGGAGAAGTAGACAGAAACAGACCCAAAAAAGAATTAATGGCAAGACGGAGAACTCTAGGGCAACAAAAGAAAGAAAAAAGTGCGGCAGATATTATATACCATGAGAATTGATGTTATGCGAAGCATGTGAAGAGAATGTGACTGTGTTATTTTTATCAACAGCAGCAACAATACCAACAGCAGCGTGGGTATTGCCAACACCAGACATGGTAAGCTGATATGTAATGCTTGTGCTTGCTGGAATGACAGGCCTGAATGGTGCTATGCAGACAAACTTCAATGAATGGCACTTTACTACAATTCATGTTACCCCGACGTGACACCTGTGTCATAGGAGTACATGTGTAATCTTTATAAAGTTAGATGCCCGCACTGACTTAGTGACTTTGCTCCAACATTATGATTGCAGCACTGTTGCGGATTGGGCCCCTCCCTTCCAATTCCATCCATACTGGGGAATTGCAACTTGCCGGGCGAAGCTCCTTATAGAGGCGCCTCTTCGTCCCTCGTAGCCGTTGTAGTAGAATGAATAAGTATAGCCCACTCCCACTCCCGGAATAACCAGGCAGATCAATTTCATTCCTAAAATTCCTCAATGTAGGAAAGGTACGTCTTGATAGCTTTATCGAGCTAAGAATGATAGTGACAACGTAAAGCTGATGTCATCAGATGCATAAGAACTGCACAACTACCTTAAACACATTATTAGGGTCGACAGATAGTAGCTTGGTGATATCACGTGCAGTACAACCACACTACTAGTTTTCATAGGGGCAGTTCTCCGGCTACCTATGGTATTTGCATGGTCAGCATAACCTTAAAAAAGCATTTTAGTAAACATTTGACAATGCATGCATTTACTTGTTTTGAGCGTATTTTACTACCTCCGCCGTATCTCTTTACTACAGCCAGTAAGTAGTAAAGCTTGAAACTTGTGCCATTACTAAGCAGGAATGCTTTTTTGGTATCATTAACTAGGTCTCTCGTAAACACCTCTGTACATCTTGCTGTTCTCGTGACACTCATAAGAAAAATTTACCAAAATCTTTGAAAAATCAAAGTTACAAAATTTCGTTCATTACTTTGGAATAAAAATTATGTGCTACGTGATGACACATCACGCCACTCCCTACACCGCCGACTCGTCGGTTCACACGTAATAAACCTCGCGCGCAACCAAGGTAGCGTTGAAGCATGTCTGCACATGCCACCTACAAGACCTATGCTAGCCATCACTTCAAACGAATCTTCCAGCGCTCACCAGAGCACCTGCGTTTGCACCGTTCAAACAGTCAGGCCACCCGTGCGCAACGCTGCTCCATTGCATCCCATCGGGGTTTCCTTCGGGGAGATGGTCCAATTTTTCATTAACGCTCTAGCATTTAGATTACAAAAAGCTGTCCTTGCTGTTCCTGGATAGATATGAACTGCCAAATGCCTGTGGCGCATACCCGAATAGTTCACATGCCCGTATACCCATATGCATACCCATGATATACGGGTATGTGCCACACGTGTCTGAAGGAAAGGGTTTGATGACGTACGCAATGAGATTTTCATCTTATCTATGTCGTGACTAGCCAGACACATTCGTCAAACCCTCTGGCTTTCCGATACTAATTTTCGTCTACCCCAAGTTAAGAAGGTAATCGTGAGAGCTGGATGGATAGATGCATCGATAGGAATGCTCAAACTGGCCACAGTCCACAAAAAGAAATCCTTCGCATTTAAAACAAGAGCAACAAGGCAGCCCCTCCAGCTCCGCTCTTCCTCAGCATCACTAGTACGTAGCTGCCTTAATTTTTTTTTTACTTCTGCCCCGTTCAATGAGTGGCTGGCACTGCTGAGAACCAAAGCAGCGTCGTTGAGCTCCATAGAGCAACATCTCGGCCACCAAACTGCTATGGTAGGTAGGCAAGTTCGTACAACTGTGAAAATATGTGTGATGTATCAACAGTGCTGTTGGATTGAAATGCGAAAATTTATTGCCGAATAATCTGCATATGAGGATGCAGATATGGTCACTCACCAAATCAAAGTGTAAAAACACGAGACATTTCGGGACCCATACGGAACATCTCTTCTGTTTTTTTACCTTGACCTGGTCAGTGACCGCATCTGTGTTCTGATCATGATAGCTGACCAGACGAACTTTCTTCCAACTCTTGATTAGTAATGTGCATAGTTACATTTTCAATTTCTTCAGTTTGTGTCATGTCGACACAATTTCAACACAAACACTTACATCAGAGTGAACATCACCAGCAACAGCCAAGCTATATGATGTAGCTACCTTGACTAATAAGCTGTCGTTATACAAGTTTTGATTTCAGATTCGAATCCACAAATACCCTACACAGATGCTTTGCGTAATGCAGCTTTGAGCAAACTACATCGCATCATTGCTTTGCATGCAAGCTGCTGGGTGAAAGCAGCTCGGTTGCTGACCTGTGAAATGGCTGAACAGGAAACTGCAGCATGTAGAACAGCTGCACAGGAAACCATCGTGCACTCTAACAGGTCTGAAGTTGTCATCGGCTCAGAGGAAGTGTACATTTATTTAGGATGCAGCATGCCAGCATCTCAGACTGCTCTTCTGGCACTCTGAACCCAACACAGAACAAAGAAAAAAAAGTGTGGTGCAGGTATCAGACTACATGAGTGTGTTGGTACTGGGCATTACACATTAGCCCTATTGCATGAATTGTGGAAAGGTAATTAGAAAAATTATTTTCCTGGCTTTTTTTTTAAACAGCCAGATGAAGAAGAGCATATGCCAATATGTACTTTCAGATTTATGGCGACTGTTTAATGAAAATACAGGTTTGTGCCAAGCATGGCACACCATGCAGACCATACAAGTGATACTGTGATGCGCGACGTTGCTGCCATGACTGAAAAACAAAACCTCACCGATTTTGCTCTTTTAGCATGATGTGTGGAACAAAGCAAAGCAACTGCTTTCGCTATTCAGGCATACCGCAACTGAATGTTTCTGTGATGCATGTGACCACCAAAAATTATATACCTTGCTTTACTTCCCTGCCCAAATCGCCAATCCCCGACATGCAGTTGGGAGCGTCAGTTGCCTGAGAAAATCAAGAGCTAAACATTGATTTGGACTGGTCAAACCTCACAATTTTTTTTTCTTGTACCCACACTAATAATGTAACAAAAAATTGCCCGGTAATGTTGCTGGTGCCTCAGACTTTCATGAAAGATCTAACAACCACAGCAGCATTCTGCACACGACCGAGTTGTGCATGATCTCAAGGGCTGTGCTTTATTTATGCCTGTATTGTGCACGCAACATGGATGGCAGAAAATTGCGCATACCGATTTTCGGTTAACACAAGTAGCAAGAAGCATTAACTTTAAGGTCACGAGAATTAGTAATGCTAAAATAACATTTTCTTGCTTCTGGAGCAAAAGAAAAAGTTCGAAAGAGAAAAGTTTCAATCATATTCCATATGACAAAGTTGCAGGTGCACTATAAAATATATTCAACATCTTCTTTATGCTGCTTGAAGGATGGCAGAGCTTTATGTTAAATAACTATGGGAATTACTCTGGCAGTGTCACATTCTCAACTTGGTCTCTTGCGCACACAATAAAAATGTAATTGGTATATGAAAAATGTGGGTTGCTATGCAATATAAAGGGTTATAGGAGTGCACCAACACCAATGCCACCTTTTTTTTAGTGAAGACAGAGGTATGCGCCCAGTGTGCCCTGGATGACACAACGCACTCAACTTGTTCTGCAGTCAGTCAGTCAATGAACTTTATTCATAAATTCTCCTGAGGAGCCGATGGCCTTCAATAGGGCGGGTCGGCTGTAGGCCACACCTACGTAGCAATAGAAAGGGCATGCCCCTCCCCCAAACTTCAGGCCCTCTGGACAGCCTAGATTCTGACCTCCTGTTTCGATCTGGTCATTGTCATCCCCGAGGCGTCCTTTGTTCCCAAGAGGTTCGCCATTATGCAGCGTTGTGTATTGCCAAACCATGCGCAATAACGTGCACAGTCTCTCATCGCAGTGAGGCTTTATGCTGTCAATAACCTTGCTGTAAACTAAGGGCGATGGGTACCAGTTTGCAGCATTTTTAAAGAGATTAACTGGGCCCTCAAGAGCTGCGGGAACCTATGCGTGGCCAATCGATAGTCTTTACATATTTTGTTAAAGGTGAGGGGGAAATCAAGCAGCTAATGCTTTCCCCCAAATCAGAGGCCGAATGCCCATCACGGTGGGACAGCGCGCATGTGCAAGTTGATAGGCATTAAGGATAACAGGGCAGACATCCTTGCCCATGTGGGCAGGAAACCAGGTGACGTGACCATCGATTGTAGTGCAATTTAGACTTTTGGCAAGAATATGGGCCACTTGCTCACACACTGACCAAGTCATCAATGCTCATGCAGCAGCCCGAGGGCAGTGGAAATGTGCGTATGCGTGGGAATTGCCACAGCCAGTGCTATAGCAGCCTGCTCAGCCCTGGCCGGCTTGGTGCCGCAAAGAGATGCTGCCGTGAGGAGTTTACCATGAAAGTCAGTGAGCGCAACCACGAAATTCGCTGTTCCTGTCAGTAAATTTAGTATGCGTCAACAAATGCCAGAAGTTCAGGGGTGGCAGCAACGGAACTGAGGAGCAACCCAGGATCTACATTGTAGAGTGAGTGAACGTTTCTAAGAATTTGTGATGCCATAATATGCTCCCTAAATTTAGCAGGGAGTCACATCCTTTTGTCAGCTGCCGAAGTGTGCTTGCAGCCCAAAAACTCCAGGATACGCCCGACAGCTTTGGAAGAGGAGAGTTTCGTAGCCTGAGCCGTTTGTTGAGCTTCTACAATCTCGTGTTAAATATAATGTGCATACCAAGGGGATTGGAGATTTTCCTCATTAGTGACTTATTTTGCAAGAGGCCATCACCTAATGACCCAGAACTGTCACTACCCCTTTATGGCAAGTTTACAACCATGTTGCACCAAGTTTTCAAAAAATCCAGATGGGAAAAAGAATGCTTGATGGAACTTCCGATATTTACGCATGAATGATTTACACCTAAAGTTACTTGCCATGCTAAGGGCTTTTTGTTGGCAGGTCTTTCATCTTTTTAAATAACGGGTATCCCAGCATTACATCCAGGTTTGTTCTATAGCTGGGGCACAACAGTCCGAAATAGAGTTTGGAGCAGATTACAGGAAATAAAACTTCTATTTGCTATCACGAAGGACCAAATTTGGACCAGTATAAAACAGAAGGCTTACAAAGTACTATGTGAAAACCATTCAAGATCACCTAAATCGTGCAGAGTAAACATGAGCACAGCTATTCCAATAAAGCTAGTATTTTGAGCCACACCACTGATCAAACAAGGATGAAGTCCACATTTGAATTTTTCACCTCTGTCAAATCCTTTGACAGATATTTGTGAATTCAAATGTAGATCTGCCAAGCTTATGACCTTGAAATTCAAGGAAATTTGTGGAACTGAGGAGTGAGGGCAGTAGAAGCATCATATACTGCTCCAAACGATTGCCTGCAACTTTTTCAGACGTCAGAGATCCCACTAGTGCTCACAATTATGCGGTGGTATATGCGCACGAGTAACTGAACTGCCCCTTACAAATCATAATAGTTTTCCACACAGCACTGGTGTACTGCAGGCGTAAGTGCTATAAGCAGCGTTCAGCAGGGGTTAAAACAAGGCCAAGATATTCTCGAACACTGCTACACCCTCCTTTGTTTCTGTATTTTTGGGGGGGGGGAGGGCAGAACATTTCTGCTCGCTTGCAAGGCGCACTCTCATTGGTCTGACAGCACTGGATATCTATCGCCAGGACAATGCAATTAACGAAACTTCAAGACAGAAAAATGTTTTAAGTGCCGCTGCTATGGCGACCAACATGCTCACCGGTGTTCGCAGCTACGTCGACTCTGTTTCCACGGGAAAACGCAGTATGCGTGACCAGCTCTATTCTGCTAACATGCCATAGCTGCTTTTTCCTGACAAAAAAATTCACATTTTCTGTGAAGCATTGGTAGCTACGCCAACGCATTTTTGTCTCCAAGTTGCAATGTGCCGCTGATAAGTATCCACTGCGGTCAGCGAACCAATGTGCGCACGGCTGTTACTTTATCTGGTCGACAGAGTCGTGAATGCCCTGACCTATTGGGGTTAAGGTTATCGCACTTTAAGGTTAGAGTCTGCAAGCTTGGATCGACTGACGACGCGAACTTCAGGTGGGCAACGTGGTCTCAATTTTATAGCTGAAACTAGCGCAACTGAAAACATTTTGAGAAAGATCTCACAATATTGATTTCACAAGCCTCCAAGCACCAAAGCATTGTATGCTGTATTACTTAAACCATCTAAGCTTTACTGCATACAGGTGGAATGCTGGTGAATCGTTCCATGCTTCAAATAAAGCAAGGAGGCACATATCCAAAAGCCATTTAATAGATGCTAATACATGTGGTGTTCCACAAGAACTACATATGCTGCAGTATTTACAGTGAAAAAATGACAATAATACACCGTCCGGCCAACAGAGCACGGCCGACAGCTTCACAGAATGCGTCACAAAAATGCTGGTGCGTTTTCGATGCCTATTCTGTCATTCGCTAGAGTCCTCGTGTCACGATGTGATGGATGTGTTCAACCCCAGTCACAGGCAACATGTCAGCAACCAACACTCGCCAGTCACTCCAATCAGCAATTACACAACACAATCAGCACACACATACAAGATGACACAATCATCACAAATATCTGCAGACAGCAATTGATTGAAAGAATGACAATGATAACGGAAGCGACCTCGTTGGCCATATCGCGGTATATGATCATCTAGGATTTGGTGTCTTAGACACAACACGCATTAAATGTATACATTGCATGCTTTCAAAAATAGCCTCGAGACAGGTTAACTGTGTCCAACATAATCCCAACACAATTGCAAATGGCGATAAACCCAGCATGCATTGTCATCAGGGGGTGTGCGGCATTATAATAATTTCACCGACATGAAGAGTGCACCGAAATCTGCCCACACAATGTGCAAGCCTTTGCTGCAAAGAACTAGAATTCTCGTCAGCATAGAGTTACACTGCAAACAATAGGATAACTAAACCCAGAAAGCGTAGAAATTACGCATAAAGTGTCGCATGCACTCAATAAGCTTTACAATAAAAAGAAAGCATTCGAAAATTCGACATAAGCAAGTGACAGTAAAGCAAAGGACTGGTAATCCACATGCATTGCAAAGAAAACATATTGCCGACAGCCTTGATGCCAGTCTCAAACAGAAGCAAGTCGTGATGCAATAACCAAAACTTCCTCCGATGCAAAAGTGTCGTCAATTTCCTTTTTTGTAAAATTCCCTTACATGAGCTACGCTCACGCATCTCACAGCCTCTGCACGCTAACACCATAAGTACTAGCACAACTTCTCACAGTTAATCCTACCAGCGTATTGAAAAAGTATTTCGACGGGAACACTTTTCTTCAAGAACTCACAGGCCACTGTATTAACCGCGAGAAAGGCAACAAGGCTAAATTCACAAAGAAGGTACTTTTGTGTGGGGTCTCACATGACCCCATCAACCACTGTGCTAAGCAGGACGATTCAGTAAATGTCCCAAGTGGGGAAGTTTGACGTCAGCTCCTGTCCTTTCCATTTCAGCAGACTTATATGCTTTACAGAAATCTAGGAACTCTCTGGCAATGCACTAACAGAAAAAAAAAAAAAAAAAAACAGAAGCCTCAACACCCCACGACATTTTGGCCGTTTTGGTGCTTTGAAAAGTCGGACTAGTCGAGGACGAGCCCAGGACCGACTCGTCTCGGCCATGAACGAGACGTGGTCCCTGCAATGCGGAAAAAAGGCAACAGTCAATCGACCGGCAGTACACGACACGCTACAAGAGCACGGGGCAGCTTTTTCGCTTCACTTTTTGGGGGAGTCTGTTGATTCCGAGAGACTTCTTTCGGATTCCGTCACGGCGCTATCGTTGCCCGCGTTGTGCTCCTTTGTCTTCTCCTTGATATCCAGAGACTCTAGCTCCTTTGTCGGCACTTCACATTCGGAAGTGGCTTCTAAACACAAGACAAGCGTGAAAAAGGCAAGACAAATGTTAACCAAATGTTGGAACCACCAGGGGTTGGACAGTTGCAACAGTTCTGTCATTTGCATAAAACCTAGACACAAGAGCCACAAGCTTGCTAATCTAACAAGGCTTCTTATTGTAAAGCAACAGTTCTATTTAGTTTCAAAGCACTACCAATAATCAGGTATTTTCCATCATCACATTGGCATAGACTTGGTGTCATCATCCTTTGTTAGAGTCTTCTTGACTGTAAATGTTTGCCTTTTTTTTTACTTTGCTTATTAGCCATGTTCTACCAGTGAAACTCGCTTACCAACCTTAAAACTCTAATAAATGTTTATAATTTTTTTTTATCTGTCTTGTACAGTTTGAACACATTAACCAAAGCTGGTTTCAGCAGAAATACAAAATAGCATACCAATATAACTTTCCCACCTACAAGATGATATAAAGACAAGAGCTAGGCAAACATTGCCCACCTTTGCTTTCCTTGAGAAGCTCAATTTGCATTTTCTTGGCTTCTTCAAACTTTTCCTTGAATTTCTGGGCATCTAAAAAAAAAAAAAAATTAGAACAGGCAGAAGAGCTTTCAAGAACGCCGCACAAGCCATTCATTGCAGCAAACGATTTAATTTGTGAAACAAGTCCCCAGGGAACAGATCCGCATTTGAGAGAGAGCCAACACTCCACGATAGCTTTCGTTTTTTCCCTCTCTCTCTTCGCGTGTGACATTGAAAGGATTGATATATATATGTGCGGTTTAACGTCCCAAAACCACCATTTGATTATTAGAGAAGTTGTAATGAAGGGCTCCGGAAATTTCGACCACCTGGGGTTTTTTAACGTGCACCCAAGTCTGATCAGCACACGGCAGCGTTGAAAGGAGAAGGGTCTCTACGTGGCAGGGGCGGAAAAGAAAGAAGCATGGCACAGGCGCATTGCAGATTGGCATTTGAGAGAGAGCAAACATTCTGCCGCAGCCTTTTCTTCTTTTCCTTCGTGCGCAGCGGTGAGGTGTCGGAGGTGCCGCCGCGGGATTGGGCTGTGGTGCTGACAGCATTTTCGGAGCGCGGTATGGTCGAATTAAGGGGGGACGTGCCTTTCGAACGAACTTTCTTGTTTCTGGTTAGATCTTGATGAAAATTGGCACAGAGACTAAGAATGACCTCATAATGCTTCCATAAAAATTTCAAGATGATATAATGAAAACTTTCTGAGAAACAAATAATTTCATTACTGGACCTCGTGGAGCGGCTGGAGAGTTTAAAAATGACATAGAAAGTTGGTAAACACTGTGTGCAGAGGTGAATGTATGCTGTAGGGGCTGCGTTTTCAAAATATTTTTTTTGCAACACTAAAATTTGTAGTTCATGTTTTCTCCACTGATACTTCAATGAGCACATTTGCACTGCAAACAAGAAACCCTACCAAAAATTTTTAAAAGACTAAATTTTAAAAACAAGAACACAGCCCCCTGAAGCACACTTCAAGGAGCATTACAAAAAAAATCAGAATCAAAATATGTCAAGTAGTTGCGAAGATATCTGCTCCACGAGCTGAGCAACATGCCAAAAAAAAAAAACAGTATTAAGAAAACGAGGTTCAAAGTCTTGAGTCGCGGTTTACATGCCTAATAGGCACCAGGGTTGTAGTCCTTAGTGTCCTTTGCAGCGCGGCGTCGCTCGGCCATCTGACCTTTAGCCTGATGAGCTTTCGCAGCCTTATTTTAAGTGTGAATACACTTTATAAGCGACCCCAAACCATCCACCACCGTCGGCGGCGTCCGCAGTCTTCTTTCTATCTTTAAAAGAAAGAGGACTTGGCGGGCCGCTCTACTGAATAAGCCACGGACGCGACGCTGATATCGGTGTCGCTCCTCCGCTCTCCTCGCTCCCTGCAGCTGCGCGCGCACCCCTCTCTCTCGCGCGCCCGCCTTCTCTCTCAGTCTCCCGTCGAGAGCGGGTCATGCGATGGATGTCCCGGAGGCAACGCTACCATCTGGATATAAGGCGCGTTACTGACACCGATATATATATATATATATATGTGTAGAGCGAGAGAGAGAAGACTGCGGACGCCGCCGACGGCGGTGGATGGTTTGGGGTCGCTTATAATGTGTATTCACACTTAATATATATATATATATATATATATATATATATATATGTACTGGTTTTTTTCCGCATGGCATCTTTTTCGGCTGCTCTACGAAGTGCATGGCGTCCAGGTTGGAGACCAAGAGATGTGCAAAGTTGGGTGTAGGCATGGAGGTTCCCAGCATTATACCTACAGATTGCTTCACTGACAGCAGTTTCTGCGGCTATCAATGAAGCATGCTCTTTGGGCAGAATTGACCAAACAATTGAGTGCAGGCTTTCGACAGCATTTTGAGTTTTTTTTGTCCTGGCACCGCGCAAGAAGCTGTGGGTCCGAAAGTCGCTGGTACACAGGCAGCAGGGCAGCGGCAACGTGTCGTCCCAGGTGGCACTTATGGGGTGGCTGCGGTTCACTGCTAAGCTTTCTGCAGCCCGGTGTCTGCACCAGCTATCAGGACCTGGTGGGCAAAGTTCGTGGTGTTGATCCTTGTCAGTCGAAGTGGTGTGGTAGAATGTAGCCATGACCACTCGCTGCATATCCTCCACTTCAGCATGCTGCCTAAGGGCTTGGCCATAATAGTCAGTCAGTTGCTGGATCAAATTTTGTGTAAGGCCACCGTTTCCGCCGATAGGTTGGTCTTTCTTGCTCTTTGTGACGATGGCCCGCAGGGCTGTGCCCATCCTCTTTTTAACATGATTGATACAATCTTCTTTCTTCAGGGGTATAAAATCGTAAGTCTGGTCCTGACACAGAGCTAAGAAAGTGCGGCTGTCGCCATTGCAAACGATGGTTGTGTAGTGCAGGTCATTTTTTTTTAGTGAGCGCCGAAACAGTATGAGGGCCGCTTCGACTTCCATTTGGCCCGAGTTTGCCTCTGTGTTTTTCTGGAAAACGTGTGCTTCCTTCCATTCACTGTAGCCGTCGTCGCTTTCTTTGGGGCCCACAGCACATCCATGACAGTAATTGGACAGGACAACACTGTCAAGCGCTAATCCGGTGTAGAATTCAATGACCGTGCCCACGCCGATGTGGGCCGCGTGTCATCCACGTCCCGTCGTACACCACCGTGACATTCTTGGTGGGTGTTCCCTCCATTTGGCTGTACACATTGCAAACGGCTGCAACAGCGTCACAAAACACACGTGCCGCGGCTGCTGCGCCAGCAGGCCGAAATTCCCCCTTGAGATGCCTTTGAGAAGTCTTGTGGTGAATTCCCCTATGTGATACATTCACCACAGACCAAAAATCACTGAGTGCAGCTGATCCCTTTCCAATAGCTTTTATAGCTTTCATGGCCCGAATATTTACTTCAAATAACTTGCTGTTTTCCACTCGGGGCGACGACCACGCATTTTTCGCGTCGCAAGCAGTGCATGTGAGCACCATCTTTAGCTTAGTTTCGTGCTTCATCTTGAGTCCCGGCTCTTTGCACTGCGGGCACAGGGCACTGCCAAACAGACCATTCAGGGCCGCGCGTTGCACGAGGAAGAACTCCTCTTCGTCTTCCGTTTCGATGTCCCTCTCGTCCCCTTGGTCCATCAGTAACATCTTGCGCTCCGTCGCAGACACTGCTCTTAGGGACTCCTGAACAGCCGCGGCGCATTCGCGAGATGCCTCCGCTGACACGAAACGAGGCTCTAATCGGGCCCGAATCGTGCTACTGGTGGTGCTGGTAGACGGCCTCGCATCCTCGCGCGAAGTACTTGGCTGAGCATCCGCGATGTCTACATCCTCGCGAAGTGCTAGGCTTAGCATCCGCGATGTCTGCAGCCTGCGCGGAACGACGAACGGATGTTTCCTCAGACAGCACAAAGCACTGCTCCACAGGCATATGAACAGTTTCGTCGCTGCTCGCGGACGATGCTCCGTGCGTGCTTGTGCTCGGCTGCGAGTCCTCGTCGTGCCGCACGCCGTCGTCGCTGCTCGCAGAAGTTGCCGGACTGAATTTCTTTTTCACGATCGGCGGCTTCGGCTTACGAGCACCAAATCGCTGCGCAGTCTTGCATTTCTTCTTGAACGATGGCCGGTCCATGATCGCATACGGGAACCGATCTCAAAACTGCAATGCGCCAAACTGGATAACAACATTTTTCTCCTTTCACGAGTGCCGGTCTTATCGCAGTGCGATGCGATCTCGAAACCACGCCGCGACGAGTTGAAAACACATGCAGTAAGCGGCCCGTCAGCGCTGTCAGCGTGTAGAGCAGACGACCTTCGCGCCGATTGCTACAAGCGACCGCACGGGCGACCAATGCGGAGCCGCTGTACAGTCACGTGACACGCGTCGCCAATCGGAAACTGTTCTGATACCTTTACACTTTGGCTTGCTGTGGGCTTGCTCTTGCCTGGTTCAGCCGGCCGAGGTGGCAAATTCGAAAGGGAAGAATCGCGCTATCCATAGAGACAAAGATGGCGGCGCTAGGTAACGTGGTTGCCAAGATATCGCGGTTCGAAAAACGCCGTTTTTTTCGCAATTTCCGTGAAATTCATCGCCACCCTAGCTTCGATAAAAATTTTTTACGTCATTTCTACGCTGTTTTCAGGGACAAAACTTTGAAATTAGATATAAAAGGGGTCACAGAATGTGAAAATAAGATTTTCAGAAAATCGATTTTTTGGCCAAATTTCGCGATGCCAAAGCCGCGTCCCCCCTTAACCGTCGCGAGTGCTTGCGTATTCGAGTTATAGGACTTTTTCGCCCATTAAAATGCACATAGCTTTGACGGGACCACAGCGTCAGTTCTAACTAACTGGCAGTTTGAACTAAGCGTGTTCGAATTAATGAGATACGACTGTAACAGTGGCACGAACAGCGCTTCATCGGAGTTACTTTTCAGGGACCTGAAAGACAATCTCACCACCGTCCAACCAGTCCAACTCAGTGAAAACCCCCTGGAAACTTCAGAATAAGGCCCGCTGTAATCAATCTAACAAATATTTGTCTTTTTTCACCATCATCAGTGTGTTATAGTTGCCAAATTTTTTCTTTAGTACCGCCGGTGCAGGTAACGGGTGGCTTCTGAGCTATTTTAGCAGGTCAGGCCACAGACGTCAAGCAACGAACAAGAAAGAGACGTAGATCAGACCTAGCCGCAGAAGCAACCGACAAACTCAAATGCCAAAAGTGAACGTCAGGCAAGTTTGTGCTGCAGCTCTTGTAATTCTGTCTTTGTCCCTTTAGTGCATGCAGCTATCTCAGACATCACACCAATCAGACTCCAAGTGTGGCTTGGCTCGGCTTGCAGTTTGATTGTTGCCATTCAATGGATAGCCGGCTGGCTAAAGCCGAAAACTTGGAGCCAAAACACATAGCCTTCAATATTGGAAACTGCGATTTTTGCATTGACTTTTACACTGGCCCGACCTCCAGGACCAATGCAACCATGCGATGGTGGCAACTTAGCGAAATTAGCACAAAAAACACCGCTTACAGCTGGTAATGGCATTGGTTGCCACACGTGATCAGGCAGCCGGAGGCCGAAAAATAAAACGCCACATTGCGGGGTATCCGAAATTTTGGTCGTGAGTTTGCATCACTTCAATGGGACAACAAAAGAGGCAGTGCCGCAAGAGCCCAAATAATTGGGTGTGTCCGAATTTCGCGCGTCCGAATAAAGGTTCAATGACTACAGTGGAATACTAGACAGGCTAAAAACTTCCAATAAGCAGCATCAACAATTGGAGGCAGTCAAACAGACACTCACTCTCTACACTTCCAAACCGCAATGCTAACAGTTCTGGCTTTGGCTCCTCATCTGCAAAGTCAGCTAAAGTGCTCCAGACCCAGGCTTTGTCACTGCCGTGGCTCGGCTTTAGCTCCATGCCAGGGTGCACTGCAACAACACAGTTAGATTCACAGATGAAGAGCACTCTTAAATAATAACACTCGTTTCATATTAGGCAGGCATGTGCAACCATTTGAGTACTGTGAATATTGGAATTCGCTTCAGCACCAGTTACTATTTGAAATGAACTTACTGGTATGTAATAGACATACAAGTCCCTGTAAAGGTGGTTTCACTGCAGCCTAGTAATGATATGCTATGAAAATACTTATCCAGAAAATAATTCACACTGCACTGAAGCTTAACTTTAATGTTAAATAAAATTCTATCTATTCACATCATTATGAGACCAAACAATCATGCCAACGAAAGTATAGGGGGATGTTATTAGATGTAACTGTGTTGCCAATGTGAAGGAAAAAAAAATTGGACAAAAAGATCGCTTTCCAACTAAGAGGACTTCTACAAAACCCTTGTGAACTGCTCCGTTTCATAATCGAAACTTGCAACCAGCGCTTTCAGAAGCGTCGCCGCGTGCCTGCGCTGGGCTACCCAAGCTTTTAGGCTTACCTTTACGTCGGAACTATGAAACAGTTTCCATAGGTTAAATATCAAGTTCCCAGCATTAAATACTCAAAGAGATGCAGATCACATGCTGCAATATCCACATTCAAGAACAGTGCAATGGGTTCTAGCATTTCACGTGTTAGAACGAGGAAATCAGTCACGCAAGGAAAAAAATTAACGTCTGTTACCATGATATAAGTTCTCATCCACGCCAAAGCTTTATCTACTTCCGAAAACCACTTCAGATTCCCTACGAGATGATGTTTTCGTGTGACTTTCGGACAGAATTTGTTGAAACTTCTGCTTTGGCTACCCACGTACGCGAACGCTTGCACGTTGGTAATCCTTACCATAGTGGTTGGCGCACACCTTGAAGGTCTTGTCGCGGCGCATGAGAATGCGGCAGTGGCCAGCTTTGTTGCAGAGGATCTTCACCTCACCTGTGCCCCGCTCTTTCCACTCAGGTGCCTCGTTGGGTGCCGTGACGTACCTGTATAGCTTGCCCCGCCTGCGCAGATTGCCACCACACACCGGACGCTGCTTCAAGAAAGCGATTCTGTGCTTTATTCATATCCGAAAACTTCTTAAAACATTACAGTAGACAGGACACCTGAAACAACAGGACAGGCCATCTTGAACATGAATGGGTACCAAATGGCCCACTTATAAAATCAAGGCAATTTTGTAGATTTAACAAACTTTTAAACTGCGCAATGAAGTCGGAAGACAGATGCACACATGAAGTATGCACATGTCTGTGTTTCTTCTTCATTTTATTCATGCAGTTAAACAATTTTCTGAACAACTTATAGACTTCGATGTCTTACCGCATGGCTTGCCTTGCCTGAGCAGTAAACACATTGTTTATACCGTGGATGCATCGATATACTGGAATTTGGTATCTCGCACCACTGAGATTTACCAGCAAATTAAAACAAACACACCAGAGGAATAAGCCCTATACATGCCATGTATTTTAGGCAAAGTTTATGTAGCTTTTTCTCCATAACCACAAGAGCTACAGTAATCATTTTACTATCATTGTGAGCCGTTCCTCTTCTTACTGAAGAAGATTTAGCACTGAAAATGGTAATGCTCAATTTTGTCTAAATGTTTTACTTCAGGTACCCAATTATCACTTGATAATAGCTACTATTAGATGTGTTGCAGAAGAGTACTTCCTCCCACAACAATTCTGCTTCAGAATATTCCCTATTACGTTATCTAAATACTGGCTGAAATCAAAGATTCTAGATACTGAGAAAAATGAACTAAAGTAAAAAAAAGCATGTCTTGAGATAATAGATTTAAAGTTGAAAATCTGCATTATTTCAAAAGTACGAGATAGCAGCTAACTGACAGACCCGTTCAATAGGCACCAACCTTATTCCGATCACTAATATCATTTTTCTTTCTTTTTGCGTTGAAACGCCTTGCCTGGCAAGCCTCGTTTGTCACCTGCTATGCAGCCGTGTTAGCACAGTACTGTCGACGCAATTCAAGGGTGCATAGGCCCTGCACTGTGCAGTGCCCTGGTGAAATTCCAAAATAGTTGATCCCATCATACTGGCTATGTTTCCATCAACAAAAGTGAACACATCATCATGAGTGCATATTTACAGTGTCTGGTGCAGACTAGAATGTTCTTTTTTTGGAGCGCGCTCCTACAGGACAATTCAATGACTCGTTATGGTATTATCGAGTTTTCCCATGGAGGCATTAAGCAAGTAAAACTGGATGAGCTAGTTCCAGATAGTTTGGCTGAACAGCCTCAATAACAGATACTGTAGCCTCAATAACAGATACTGTAAGGTGTTCTTCATGACTGAATGATTCACTATTCAACTGGGCTTTGTTGCATTTACACTAAAATTCGGCGTTCTTTGAGAAAAGCCTGTGGGAATGATTGGTATCCTTGTGACGCCATGTGAAAATATGTGGACCGGACAGCTTTCGCATGTTCTCCCAAGCTGGTTCTATTTCTTTTAACGGCCCAACGATAATAGTTTTGGTGCTTGCCAATAATGACACCATTGAGACGTCTTCGACTATATATACCCCGACAGAAAGCTTGATGCCTCTGCTTCCTTTCGTTTTCGCAGTTCAAGGCCCATTCTTCTCTCATTATGCCAAATGCACTGCAGCTTGCAAACAGTAACTTTTACATATGGCTATGATGCATGAAAGGAGGCATGGCAGGCCATCACACAAGTTCTGAAATATCGCATTTTTAGATGAAAAAAAAAAATTGTGTACCATGACAAACGACTGATTCTGGCTCAGAGAAGGCTGCTGATTTCATGTAAAGGAAAATGAATTTTTTTTTAATATTTTTGCTCATCCTGTCCTTTTAAGAAGGAAAATAAAAAAGAGGAAAACTGAATTGGGTTAGCATCGTGGATGAAGGCAGCACTTCCAGAAAGGCAATTCCACTTATCATTTTTGTGTACGGTACAAATGAGTGCAAGGCAGATGCTCCTACCTCAGACAAGTGGATGAACTGATAAGCTCATAGCCCACACCTGATGATCCAATCTGAACAGTAATTGATGCTGATGGTCTAATTACACACTGTTTTGAACAGCACACAGCATTGCAGCTGCTAAATTGGCACGTCCGCAGTAGAAATTTGTTCATAACTTTATTCCAAGCTTAGCTAAAAGAAGGTGTCTTCTGAGCCGGCCTAGTGCCTGAGCAAGCAAACTGGCGATGGCACAGAAAATGTGCATGCTACCAACGATCCCATTTTTTTTTTTTTGCACACTTTAATGAAAAATTTAGTCCTCATTGACTCATGTCTTCAGAACCACAGTCATCATCATTTTTGCTCTTATTTCCTTACAAGGGTGTAATTTTTGCCCGAGATGGCAAAATAAATTAGGCAGCTTAAAAGTAGGGTACGAGAAGCTTTGCGCATATGCTAACTGCTTTTGGGGGTCAGCATCCAGGCCTTTCTTTTTGGAGATAGCATGCATACCCAAGCCATCCACGAGCGTACATCTTATTTAACACGCAAGCGATAACATATTCTAAAACATGCTACATAAACAAAATGAAACCAAGGCCCGTGTACCCAATGCTGAATCTCAACACAAAGCACATGGCACTTACAGCTTCACAAGCACCTCCTCATCTTCTTCGAGCGTTTTCACGTCGATCAACGGCAGCTTCATCACCGGTTCAAAATGGATGTCCGGACTGTGTGAGCGATCATCTTCCTGAATGAGTACCAGAGGGAAAGGCCCAAAGCAAAATATATTACTATGCACAGTTTGCAAAACATGCAACATGTCAGCTAATCCTTGCACAGTGCATTGCATCGCGTGTACAGCCTGAATCACATTTGCCTTGAGCAGTCGAGCGATGACTGTGGACGCTGTCCATTCCATTTGCTACCTCACATAAGCTATAAGTTCTTGCTCGTGCTCAAGTTAGCAATAGGACCCAGCCTGCAATATGACTATGTTAAGTATAATTACAGCATTGGCCTGCTCATATTTCTGCAAGAAAAAAAAAAATAAAAACCGGCAGCCAAACCCGAAACCATGCTGCGGGGTACTTTGATAACACCAGTTCTCACGTGTAACAGAAAACGAATGAACCTCGCACTGCAACACACTTTAGCCGTAAGAAACTATTTCCTCAAAAAAAAAAAAAAAAGGGGGAGGGGGGGAGTTCTACCATATGAACACCTACGCTTTTGCTTTTTTGTTGTTGTTCTTAGACAAAGCCGCCAACAGAGCAACGGCAGATGACATATCTCGTTAAGAAAGGCATACTGCGACAATTCAAGCTCGACACGTCCAGCGGTGAAACTACGCAGCACCGCCAGATTTATGCTACATCTTGATCAAGCTTTAGGAACAAAAAATTTGCTCTGAAACATTAAAGAACCACTTACGTGTTCGCTTACGCTGTCGTTGCGGCTCTTCTCCAGACAACCCGAGTCATTCTATCGAAACATGAAAGATCGAATGTCAGCAAAGCAACTGCCCTATCGACCTAGATCATCAATCAAACTGATCAGTAAAATAAACTGGGCGTAACACGAAAATTGTGTCCCCACCAAGCCACCGGCGTTTGACAAGCTACAACACGTAGTTTTCATAGGCTGCACGCAATTTCAGCATCGCCAAAGACGAAGAGCACGGCAGCGGCTTCGATACGTTCTTAATAAAGCGCACGAAGCAACCCACTGAGTATTGCGTTGCAGCATCGGCGACAACAAAATTTTTAATGTCTCCCCTACAACGCGAACGCAACAAGTAATAATAAGCCTATTATTGAGTAGCCTTCATTGCTGAACGTAGGCTTCGACAGAGGCATTTAATAACGACTAAAGAAGGTCAAGCGGGTCATGCACATCATCCATCGGCAAACTTACAAGTTCTTCGCTCATTGTTAGACGGGATTAAATTGGATTTCTAACGAAGACCGACCGCTATTTTTTTGGAGCGTAGCTTTCCCGCTCAGCAGCATACAATGAACTGTTTTCACGATGCGCTGTCGATGGACACAATGCGGAGAAAGAGAGTTCATAGCAAGAAGAGAAAGTAAAACATGGCAGCCATGACGTATTGTAACTTTCAAGTTCTTTTCGACGCAAAAACATCGCCTTAGAAATTGGCAACATTTATTTAGCAACGCTTCGTGTTAATAAAAACTTTTTAAAATTTTTTAAAAAGTTATCAAAAAAATAAATAATTTTAGTCATAATTAACACAGTACTTGATTTTAGCTTTTTTTTTACGAAGTTAAAAATTTGCTTTTGGTGGGTGTTTTTGTTATATGATAGCAACCATGTGTCAATGTTCCAAGTTTCGAAGTTCACGTGGTTACTGTTTTTGCTCGGCGGCACGCGTACCTGGTGCTTCAAAGCTTCTTTCGATTGACAAAGCTTAACGTTATTACTTTTTTTTTTACACCTAGTGCCCACTCATGTCGGCCACAGCTGAAATTAACGCCGCAAGTGAAAGGGTGCAGTGTCCGAAAGACGATAGTGAGGCGTGCGGTGAAGTGTTTCAGAACTCGGTGGTTACTGCGTCTGAAACCAGCGTAGAAGAGAAGGCCCGTGTCACCTCCACCTCGAGCGAGAATGCGAACGCTGAAAATGCCACATCTGAGGAAACGGATAAGGTCCACGACCCGTACTTCTACACCAAGAGAGACGAGTTTACATCTGAAGTACACAAGATCGAAATCGGAAACCTGCCCAAGATATTCGGCCACGGAGTAAGGCTACATTGTTATGCTCGCTCTTATTGCCGTTGTTGCCTCTAACGTGGCTCATACCCGAACAGGGAGGTTGGCCAAGGTTATATGACTTTGTTAGACTTTTCGATGAACCAACCGAACAATGTGCGCACATAATTATATATATATATATATATATATATATATATATATATATATATATATATATATATATATATATATATATATTGCCGTAACTGTTTTTCATCCATTCAGATCACACATTACAAAATTTTGCTTGCATATAATTAATGTGAAAGGAAAAATGAAGTAAAACAGGCTTTTTAAAAATAATTCATTACTCCAACAATAATAAATACACTTCTTTATCGTCTCTGTTTCGTGCAGCAAGTGAAGAAACTTCTTTCGAAAACCTTGCATCTGAAACCTCACAAAATCAAATTGGTGAACCTCGGGAGGTTCGCCTTTGTGTCGTTCAGGTAGGTAAACTCCGTGCGAATTCTCATGGCTTGTTACAAGTGGAGTTCGTTACAGTTTTCGTTGTGTATTTGCCGTAGAGCTCGTTATAACGAAATTCCGCGTCTACGAACAGGTCCGAAGAAGATCGGGAAAATGCCCTGCACAAGATTCAAGGCTACAAATTCAAAGGGTGCACGTTGACAGTGAAGGTATGTGAACAACTTATCGGACCATTCCTGAAATACCTACAAAAATATCTCGAGAAAGTTTTATCATGGTACTGCAAAGATTGTCTGAGTTTGGAAAATGTTCTTGCAGAAAGCAAATCCCATGGCTGATCCGCTAATTCAGAAACGAAAACTTGGGGAAGCTGAAGATGCGGTACCGTTAAAGAAACAGTGTGACGAATCCAGCATCTCTGAAAGGTTTGTCACCCACTGCATTTTCTAAGGGGGTCAAACAATGTAACGAAAATGTAAAATACCCTTGTCTGGAACTTCCAGTTCAGTTACGGGTATCAGGTCGCACAACCTCTTCCGCCAAATCGCATAGCCTGCTTGTTGCGCCTTTTGTGTTAGCTTTAGCTTCATTAATTCGAATTTACTGATGAGCATAGGTGAGCAAGATAACTGTAACTTGTTGGAGCTTGCACACAAAAAGCAGCTTTCGAACTCACCGTAAATTGCACCTTGATGAACTTGCTTTGACATTAAGCGTGTGCAGGGTTCCTCTTCAGGAGGGGGCGAACATCCACTGCAGCGTGCTCCCTACCTATTAAGTCAGTGTATGTGGCAGACTTTGCCCCCCCTCTCCCCTCACTACGCGCACACCATTACTGACTTAGTTCATCTCACTCAGACACACAGAAATGTGGGCTCAAGCAATCCATTCATACATGCAAAGGCTGAGGCATAAAGTTTCACCTGAATACACTAGAGGGAGCTCTGGCGCTAATGTTTATGGCAGCTGCAATGCATGGCACTTTAGCCAACTTGGGAATGATGGTTAGTACACGGATTTGCCTAATCTATGTTCATTTGACATTGTGCGGCCTAAATTCGTTTTGACACAAGCGCCTAAATTTGTTTTGCCGCTAGACAAAATTCAGCTGAGGATCAACAGTCACGCTTCGCCACCTTGACTTTTTTAGGCTCATCAATTTGAAATCAGCAACAATTCACGATTCATTCTTTAATCTAAGACTTCAAAACCAAGCAATAAATGAACCCAAATATGTGCTGTAAGCCGAAAGCACGATTATAAGGCAGATCTGTCTACTATACCCATCATTTCCAGCCCCGTCGTAGTGGTCTGGTGGCTAAGGTACTCTTCTGCTGACCCACAGGTCGGGGGATCAAATCCTGGCTGTGGCGACTGCATTTCCTATGGAGACAGGAATGCTGTAGGCTCGTGTGCTAAGATTTGGGTGTACTTTAAGGAACCCCAGGTGGTCGAAATTTCCGGAGCCCTTCACTACAGCGTCTCCCATAATTATATGGAGGTTTCGGGATGTTAAACCCCATATATCAATCAACCAATCAATCAATGGATGTTAGCTGAACGATCGCAGTGCCAGAGTTCTCACTAGTAAATATAAGAAACTCTGGGCGGAGTTCAGTTGGGTTCGGGAGCACTTGGCTTGGCATAAATTGTGTTTAACCCAGTCTCGCATACGCTCACATAGATTTGCACAAGTTCTTCTTCATGCAGACTTGCTGCAGTTGAATGAACTATGGTTTTTGATAATTGAAATGTAGAAACGATCAGGAAAACATTGGTGAAAGTGAATAAGAAGTGAATTGTCCGGCATAGGTACTGCTTGACCAAAATTGTTTTATTGAGGCGGAACACATATGAGCTTTCATAGCTTTTCTTCAATAGTTGGATAAATTTTTCAGTAGATCAGTCGAAGCAAACAGCTTAATTGCAATCAATGTGCAAGTCCTGGTTCACATTCTGGCAAGCTTGTTTTAAGGTTATCGCATAGTGCAGTTTTTGTCGTTATAGATCCCAATAAAAATCAAATTTCTCAATAGCAAATGGCTCTCTTCCACAGCTTCTTTATAAATTGGGTTTACTTGGGATTTGAGATGTGCCATGAGACACCCATATCGCAGTCCGCCATGGTGAAACAGGGGTTTAGGTGCTCGGCTGCTGTTCCGAAGGTCGCTGGTTCGATCCCGGCAGCGGCGGTGTCATTGCGATAAAGGCGGAACGGTAGAGGCCCAAGTGCTGTGCAGTGTCAGTGCACATTAAGGAACACCAGGTGGTCGAGATTCCTGGAGCCCTTTACTACAGCATCTCTCATAATGATATCGTGGTTTTCAAACTAAAGCCCCAGATATTTTTATTACCATATCGCACATTGTTTCCTGTTGTCAGCAGTGTTGCATATATAGGAATATGATTGATTTGCTGTAGGAATAATGGATTAATTGACGTGGCCCTGATAACAAACCTTGCAGGATCAAGGAATCTGTGGCTTCTTGGTCAGACCTCCTGTATCAGCAGCAGCTGGAGCAGAAGGAAGAGCAGATGAGAAAAGTCATGGTGAAGTATGCCCGGAAACTTGAACAGGTTAACCCAGGTCTCAAGCCATGGATCAACAAGCAGAGGTTAGAAAAAGTGACTTTTGCAATCATATGAAAGTTTTTCTGTGGCAGGCTCTGACATTGGTTGCTGTGTCGTGCCAAAGTGGCACTAAAGCTTGGTTATGATGTGCCTGTGTTTTAGAGCAGAAATATGTCATGTATTAAAAGGGTCATGAGCCACCCTCTGGGCTATGTGAGAAGGCACAACCTGTGGATATCAAACATTGCTATGAACATCTTGGACAAAGACGGTTGTGTGGGGCAAGGAGAGTTTACCAGCAGAGCATGAAGTTGCCATATTTACAGGTGCCCTCATTTCATACAGCGGACTGTCTTCATTTGCTTCAGGGTGGTTGTTACCGGCTGTTTGATGTTGAACAGAGGCATGCTGTTGGCTAATAATTGACATAAATCAAGAGCAGCAATTGTATCAAATGCACTTTTTGCCACAGCGTTGCTGTAATGTGCAAACATTACTCATTGAGCTCACTCGCGGATGCGAATATAATAATGTTTAATGTTTCATCACGTGCACTCATGGTCATAACGCGCACTGATGTAACTTCTTGTCCCCACTCCACCCCTTCCTTCTGTGCTTGGCTTCCAGTGTCGCGGGAAGCCGAGGAAAGAGAGAAAGCTTTTAAAATGCGCAACAAACCTCTGCAACTTCACTTGTTCTTGAAGGATTTGAGAAATTTCTGAGGCATTTGACTCGTGAGGCAAGGATTTGAGAAATTTCTGAGGCATTTGACTCGTGAGGCAATGCACTGAGACACTGAGGCCATTTGATAAGTTTGATAATTACTTGGAAAAGCGGTTTGTAACCCCTTTTAAAGAGAACGAGGTAAAAGAAGTAAGTAAATGCTAGATAAACAGAATCCTCAGCCTAGTCATGTAATAAAGTGTATTTTTCGTCCTCTGTCTGCAGGGAAGTGCACAAATTGGGTGTCTGCCCTGTTGAGCCCATCAAGGCATCACCTGTTGTAGATGGCTACCGCAACAAGAATGAATTCACGGTTGGAAGACATCTTGAGACGGGAGAGGTCGTGGTTGGTTTTCGCATCAGCAGCTATCGACAGGGGTCGATGAGCGTTGCTTCGGCAGCTGACCTACCTAATGTTCCCGAGTCGGCAAAGAAGGTTGCTCAGGTGTGGTACATGCTGATTCTTGTCACGGATTTTGCAAAAAAAAAGTCGAAAGTGAAGTTTCAGCACCTGCATGGAAACTTCGTTTGTGGAACATTAAAGGATCAAGGTCATTGCAAGTGCTGGCAAACATTTATATTAGCCTCGAGTTAGGCAACAAAACACTTGTAACCTCTCTTGTCTCTGTGTGGTCTCCTGCATATACGACCAACCATTGCAAGAGTTATCTTCATTTTAGCAGTGCACTGAGGGACGAGGACTGAGAAAAGAAGTAGTAAGAGTCCTACCTTTCCGTATGTTCTGATAAAACTTGCAACATCTTATTCTGTGAAAGGTGTCTACATCTATTGTGTACAGTACTTATGAATCGTAGCTGGACACTTTTGGGCTAAGTAACGCATATACCTTCAGTCTTCACCGTCCTCAGTTCAGGTCATATCAATGTAATTTCTACTAGAAGTGAAGATCAGTGCCAGCATTATTTTGAGGGACCACATTTCCCGCAACGTAACGTGGTTACCATAAGCAATTCCGCATACCAGCCATCATACTAAAAAAATTGATGTCTCGTTTGAATCTGTGATTACTGTTCCCTTAATTAAGAGTTGGCTCTGTGTCAACTTTTGGTCACACATTTGTGTCTTCATGACACTTTTGAACAGAAGAGGATCGTACGTTTCTTCGGTTCAGTGTTTTCAGGAATACGTGCAACAGTCTGGCAAGGAGCCATTCAACCCGGAGACGCACGAAGGGTACTGGCGTCAACTTACAGTGCGCACCACCAGCAAAGAGCACATTATGGCTATTGCTGTCATTCATCCGCAGGCACTCAGTGAGGTTTGTTCATCAACTTGCACTCTACATAACGTACATGCTATTCAACCCATGCAATTTATAACTAGTGTAATGGATGGAACATTCTGTTTTGCAGCTGTTCAATTATGACATGAAATTATGGATGCGCAGATGCATAGGTGTGCGCAGGACTCTCCATTATGGTGGAAGAGGGTGGAGCAAGTTTTACCACAGCTTCCTGACTCCTTCCCCAGTTGGTCAAGTTCAAAAGTAAACAAGCGTTGTAATGGAGAAAAAAATGAATACGAAGGGAGGACGTTCTCACAGTAGCCTGTCTTTGGTCTCTGCCTTTCTAGTGGTAAAGGTGACAAGTTAGCAGTTCTTGCAATATAATATCGGCCTGCATTATCGTCAAAAGCCTGTTTTGCCATGCACATTTAGCAATGACAGAATAGATACCACTGTGAGTTAAGGTGTGGAGCAGACTTAGCAGCCTCCTTAGAAAATGACAAAAGAAAGCCCCCCTTCTTCTTGTGCACATGCCAATTCGCACATAATTGCTTCACATGTCCCTGTGGCTTTGTTAATCATGGTTCACATTTTTAGTCTTCAGACAGTATGCAGTTAGAGGTCATCGATGCATTTTCATTGCTTCAGTGTTTATGGTTTTCAGTGGATAGGTCATACAACAAACCAGGGTGGTTGATGTCTCAGCAAAAAAAAACAGACCTGCTCAAGCTCTATAGTACAGACAACTAGCAGTCACTTCAAGCTATAAGAAATAGCAGAGGATGGCTGTAAATTAGACAGAATGACAAAACTGACAAGTTTCCAGGGGTAAAATAGAATCAGCTTGCACAGTACAGGGTAAATTGGAGATGATTGGGTGAGGCTTTTGTACTGAAGTGGATAGGCTTGATGTCATGATGACATTCTGGAATGCAAGTCCCATTTTATTCTCGTGAGTTCGTGGATATTAGCTTCAGTTTCTTATGCTTCTCTTCACTGTTGTAATGTCCGAAATCTGGTATGGGTCCTACATTGACTGCCTTTAAAAACAGTCATGGCACCAGTTGTGTGTGCCTCATTTACAGCCATTTTTACTGGATCTTAGCCGAGCGTTAACTGCTGGTTGAGAACCTCCATGTATGTGTGTGCTTGTAGTCTTCTCAATTAGAGCATACGTTCACATTACATTGTGGCTGTGTCACACGTCCCATCATTTGTGTTGTTTATTTACTCTGTTTCTGCCATCTGACCAACAAGCCAAACTTTTGTGAGGCATGTGTCCTGTTGTGTCACCCTCTTTTGTTTACTCTTTGGTGGCTTAACCTGCTTGATTTTGTGACTACGTTATCAACCATTTATTAGCTATCTGTTTTATTTTTACATAATATTTATTCCCTGCCTGTTTTGATCTTTCAGGAGGACATCTCGCAAGAGAAAGAGAAACTGCGCCAGTTCTTCGCAGAGGGTTCCGGAAAGTCGGCTGGTGTCACTTCGTTTCACTTGCAGAGGTTTGACAAGAAACGTTCCGATGAGGAGCAGCCAGAGTATGAGCACGTTTTCGGAACAGAGGTATATAAATCTACACTCCATACTTCGTGATGCCATTGGCTCTGCATTTTAAAACTGTGTATAGCTATGTTTGTCACACTGGACTGCTTAGATCCAGCCTTTCTTATTTTTATTACATGCTGTTGAACCCCCTAATAAAATTCAATGGTACAGTCGAGCCCGCTTATAACGAACCTGAGCGTGACGCGGCATCCGTTCGCTGTATCGCGAAGTTCGTAGTATATGAAACACAGCTTTTAAAAAAAGTTGCGAGTGAAAACACAAACTTTTTTTGCCCCAAAAAGTCCGCGATGCACGTGTTTCGAAGAGCAAAAGCGATACGGGCGGTCTCGAGTTAATTTAAAACGGCAGGGTGCTCGTTCGCCGAGGTCCGCGGCATAACCTGCATGAGGCACTGGCTCCAAAGTTTCGTAGTTCTCGCAATCCGATTCTACAAATCGCTCTCGCCACTTATTTAATTCACAATGCCCCAGTCCGTGCATGGTTACGCAATGTCAGCATCATCATCGGCCGTAATTAAACCATCGCAACAAATGTCCCACCCGCTCTCCCTGGTCAGAGTCGATGACGCGCTGTCACAAATCGCTGCTGCAGTTCGGAAGCTTCAGGCTCGGCATCGGGCCCGACGTCGACGAAGTCGGCCTCGCGAAAACAGTTTCGCACACATGTAGTCGTCAACGCCGCCCACGAAATATTCACCATCTCCACAGCTGAATACAGGGATTCCCAAAGCGGCAAGTTGGCTGCCAGGTGGTCAACAGCTATGAGCAAGCGCTCCGAAACATGGCACCTAACGCGCTGATTACGCTCAAGCCAAGCGGTCACACTTTCGACGTTTTGTTGAGCGGCACGAAAAAGCGTGCTAGTCCTCCCGTCGGCCATCATGACCACACGCGCACACCAAGAGCGAGCAAGACGCGCACACGCGACACACATGCCAAAGCGCGTGGACCAGCTCTAGGCCGATTTCCAGTAAGAAAACGAAACTAATTCGAGCCGGCGTGGTGGGCGTCGCGGAGTGGCGAAGACGGGTGAAGGGGTTGTGATCAAGAGAGGTGAGCAGACTTGCGAGAAAAGGCAAGGAGTTGCGATAAAGAGAGGGGAGGATGCGGCAGGAGGGCGACCTTGAAAACCAAAACACACAGGAAGGAGGCAGGTTGGGTAGCTTGCTTGAAAGGTCCGCGAAACTTACACGTAGAAAAACTTGGAAAGAGTGCGTGCGGCGGTGTTCGAAGAATTGACGACCGTTGTCAAAAGATCGTTTCGTTGCGCCGGCGGGTTTGCGTGGCTTCGCGAACTTCGATATTTCGCAATTCGTTCCGCGCAAATCAACAGCCGTTTTCGCGCTTCGGCACACGTGCGGATGGCATGCTGAGTCGAGTGCGAAGTGAGCGGGAACAAGTCCTAAACATGAAACTAATCGCAAATCATGAGCCGGTAGGGTAGCGTACGCGCGTGCACTAGACGCAGACTATCGGATACAGTCGGTGGCCGACGATGTTGGCAAATGGTCTGGTCACTCCAGGCCAGCGACGCCAACGACAGTACCAGCGATCAAATACAGGGTAGATGGCTGACCGGTCTTTGAAAGATCGGTGGCAGTGTGAAAACTTTGGCCTCGTCTGGCGATGCGGGGTACCCAGGGTAGCGGGGCAGGGGGGGGGGACAAAGGACGGAGGGGTGCGTAACAAAAAGCGGTCGGGGAGAGCGGCAACTAGAGAGGCGCGGAGGCAGGGTCGCCTTTTAACAATAAGAATATATGGGCACCTCGCCGATGCCTGATCGTTTGTCGAAATTGGTTTCCCAGAAAGCCGGCAGACCGCTGACTCCGTTCGCTGTAACCAATCAGCAGCGCTCGGAGACAATCGTTGTAAGTGCGATTTTGTGCCATTGAAACAATGTATATTTTGACGGTCACGCGGATATTGTTCGTTTCAAGCTAAAGTTCGTTTTAAGTAGGGCCGTTATAAGTGGGTTCGACTGTATAACAGACATTCGGGCGTTGGAGATATCAGTGTGTTTGCATCAAAGTGGTTTGATCAGAAAACGAAACATAGCGCCCTGCTTTTAAAGGGGTTCTGCAACACTTTAACTTTACCAAGTAATCATAAAACACCTTCACTGAAAAGTTCGTTTTCATTGCCTCAAGAATCGACTGCCGCAAAAAGTTTTAAAATCCCGTCAAGTACAACTGAAGTTACGGGGAGGAGGGAAATACTAGCAGAAGGACAGGGAGGTTAGATAATCATCCGTTGACTGAGGGACTTGTCGCATGCTTTAAACGCTTTCTCTCCCTTTTCGTGGCAGTGAAGGGTGCTGTAAGCCAAACAGGGAAGGGATGACAAAGGGGCAAGAAGATGCGTTGATTTATGAAGCGCGTGTAATGATCTTGAGCACTTTGATTTCTTCTTTTTCTTCGCACGTGTGATTTACTTTCAGCATGAGCATGCACCCGGGCTTGTGGCAGCATTGTGCAGCAGCTGCATTAATTAAGCAGCTAACTATGCTTTTGAGGTTCATGGTGAGCGGGCATGCAGGCACATGGCGGGCGAAATTTGCAGCACCTGCATTAACTATGCGGCTCAAAATGCTCAAATCAACCAGTTACCGTAAACTTTGTGTTTGTGGTAGGGTTATTTGAGTTTATAGGTATCACTTGATTGAGAGAGGTGTGAGAGATTTGTGGCTGACCTTGAGAATTAGTTGTAAATTCCAGGCCGTGTGCTGGTGGGCCGTATGTTGTTTGGCTCACATGCTCTCAGGAGCCTCGGCCACCGGTCAGTTATGTTTTCTGACCATTGTGTAAAAAGTTGTTGCCGGTTCCTTTAAGAGACATCTCACAAAAGAGACAAGAACTGCACCTAGGTGCTGTGTCCTGTGAAGTAATTCAACCCTATGCACTAAATTTCTTTTACTTAGAATATAGAAGGTTACTAATGATAGCAGGGCTCTGGTGTTTTGGTATCCTACAGAAATGACAGAATTAGAAATACTAACTGAAGTGTGTGCATTCAATGAATTCAGCTCACTTATAAATGTGAAGATTTATCTGAGCAACCACCACTGAGACTAACTTGAAATATTGTTTTTTTTTTCTTCTTCCGTCCACTGCTTTTCAGTCTGGTTTCTATAATACTATTTAACTTTCTTAAGCACGCACAAAACACTGAAAATGAAGGAGACAGGTGAGTGACAACTCTCAACTAAATCTGGTTTCTGCTTGAAGGACATCGAGGAGAGTCTCCTTGGTTTGACATTTCAAGTGAGCCCCGATGCGTTCTTTCAAGTGAACACGCCTGCTGCAGAAGTGGTGTACCGAACTGCAGAAGATGTTGCGGGTCTCAGCGCAGAAACAACGCTTCTAGACATCTGCTGCGGCACTGGAACCATAGGTCTGTCCTTGGCTTCGGTGAGTGCAGCTTGCGTGAACTATGAAGTGAGTGACTGAGGGTGGACATCTAGTTATGACAACTGTTGGCAGGGGTGTCTAACTGCGAATCCGAGGCGACCGAGCATTTTATTCTAGCTATTGTGCATGCACAGCTAAAATGGCCTCAGGGTTCAACTTTCTGATCATGAAGTTTGAAGTTCATTTCAGCACAGATTTCTATTCCTGTCATGTTGCTGTGACATTTCAGAATATGGCAGCCAAACCAGGAAACAGCGAACACGTCGGGTATTATGCATGTGTCAGCATACAATGCAGTGTTGTCGCTGGTGCTCGCGTAATTTCCTGAATGTGCTCAGATATGTATTTGCATCATGTTCGAAACTGAGCACAAAATTTGAAAATGCTTAAGGTAGTCAAAGGACATTCAGGTGTGGCCTGCAATGAGCAGTAATGGAGCCAAGGAAGGACTGTGAAATCTGTGCAAGTCTCCATAGCTGGAGAGAAATTTTTCAACTGTAAACGTATTTTTGCTATGCATCAATAATGCCTTGCATTGTTCATGTTGGCAACATTAATTGAGCTTGCTGAATTCATCAGTCCTTGAATCGTTTGCAGACCTTCTGTTCTTTTTTTTACGGCCTCTTCGGGCATTTCTGTAGAAAGTCAAGCGAGTCTATGGTGTGGAAGTGTGCAGGAGAGCAGTGCAGAATGCCAAGCGAAATGCCGAACTTAATGGTAAGTTGCTTACGTTGTTGCATTTGCTCTGTTATGGAAGAATAAAAAAATGCCTGTGGGCTTAGGGCGGCCTGTTCTTTTATTATTTATTATTATTCTTACTATTCAAATCTGCATGTTCCTGCGCTACTCTGTGACATCTTTAGGCATCAAGAACGCCAGTTTTGTGCTAGGGAAAGCTGAAGATGTGATACAGGACGTGATCCGTACGGCTGGGGACAGCGAAGAAATTGTGGCCATTGTTGATCCACCTAGGCAGGGTTTGCGTGAGTGCTTGCTCTTCATTTATTTATTTTTTACTGCCAAGAAAGTAAATAGAGGAGGAATGTTGACCTCTTAGAAGTAGCGGCATCCAATAATTAATTGTAGTCATGACGAAAAATAGCCACAATGCGAAATATTTTCTGCTTGTAGATAAACAGCAGTTCATTTGCATATGCCAGGCAGTCCTGTTATCTTGTGCATTTGCCCGTTGTCATGATTGATTGATATGTTGGGTTTAATATCCCAAAACCACCATATGATTATGAGAGACGCTGTAGTGGAGGTCTCAGGAAATTTCGATTACCTGGGGTTCTTTAACGTGCACCCAAATCTGAGCACACAGGCCTACAACATTTCCGCCTCCATTGGAAATAGCAGCCGTCGCAGCCGGGATTCGAAACCGCGACCTGCGGGTTAGCAGCCGAGTACCTTAGCCAGTAGACCACAGCGGCGGGGCTTGCCCATTGTCAGGATATATTGTATTTTATTTAAGCACTGAGTAATGTGCAATAAGTAATGCAGTGATTTGTATAGTAGGCTGTCATTAATAAAAAATTTCTTAAAGAGAATTGCTCCTTAAACAGAACAACTGCCTCTATGATTGGTAGGGGTACTTGAATATTGTTCCCCTGTTCATCTTTCAGTAAGCGGAAGCCTGATTAATAAGAACATATTTTTCTGGTGCCCTCAGGTTCCATTTAACGGTAAATGCATTAAAAGGTAAATGCCTAATGCTGTGAACCTGTTGGCCAGCAAGCTAGGTCTATTGGCAACCAGAGGATGATCAGTGTTGGAAACACTGTTCACAACACTGCATTGTGGACAGATGACAGATCACACAAGCTTGTTATAGGGTTGACATTTTTTTGTGTAAACTGTAAACACATTTCAAAAGAGTTGCAGACCATGTGCATCTGCACAGTTCTGTATGTGTAATTATTCTCGCAATGCACATGTGTTCGGTGGTAAATGCTGGTTTTCCAGACAACAAGGTGTTACGCACGCTTCGGTGGACCTCCTCCATCAAGAAACTGGTGTACGTCTCGTGCAACCCGGAAGGAGCGCTGCAAAACTTTTTAGAGTAAGAAATTCTGATTTATTTTCTGTTTGGAGGCAAGTTTCACATGTTTACAATCTGAGAGAGACCTCATTTGTGCTTAACGTATAAGAAGCGAAACTAAGTACTGGAAGGGTGGGTGTCAGCATTCACTCTTGGTTGTGCGCACTAGACTCTTAGTGAACAGAAATAGCAATACTGCTGCTTAAATATAATCATTACCTCTGATATGGTTGTTTGTCATGCTTGTATTTCGCATTCCTGTTCATCTCTGTGTAAACAAAACATAGTTTCCTGGTTCCTTCAGGTCCCGTTTTATCAGCGTCTACTGTTGCGGATTTGTAGTTTCCCTTTTAATGCTTAGACACCCTGATACCGTACACCAGCAGTCTTAAAAGTCAGCAAGGTTTTCTTTACCACTAAAAATCTTTCTATTACTAGTTGCAGAGACTGTATTTGTGATGCAAGCATAAAGTGAAATTCTAGAAAATCGAAGTAACTTTACTGTCATTGTGCACACAATGATGGCTGCAGCATGTTTATTAAACATTTACATTCACAACAATGTTACTTACCTTTATAATGTGTCTGCTCAGTGGGTTCCTTAATTTATTATTAGTATATCAATTTTTTTATTATGTACTATGGCCTGGCAGCGCTTCACTACCACTGCTGTTGTCAAACCTTAGTGGACACATAAGAGTCAGTAGGATTGGGCGTGTTGGTACATTATAGAGACTGCTTAGCAGCGCATACGACAGGAGGGGATATAAGAGATGAGAAAGAGCGCTGAACTGTCTATAATTTATTAAAGACGATAGTCTTTCTTGCGGGCTTTCGATGCAAAAATTTTGGTCTGTCTGTCTGTACATTTGTCTGTTTGTCCACCTTTAACGGTATTTTAAACGACACCAAAGTGACCAAACAATACTCCAAACGGCCGACTCCATCCGCAGTGCCCACCAATATTGCTTAAGGTTCAGCATTCATACTTGTGCGATTGTCAATTAAAAAGCAATCATTGCGCATATCTGAGGCACCATAGCAACTCGTCAGTATTATGTATGTGTATTTTTTACTAGGAAAGGAATACGAAAGTAATTTTAAGGATCGTAGCCTTTATGACGCTGCGCTGGCCATGCAACGCTTGCACGGAACGGCAAGTGTTTCCAACGCTTTGCTAAGGCGACACGGTGGTGGCACCCACCCGTCTCCTTGTGTTCTACACCTTATCACCTCAGAGACGGGCGCGCACAGCGCGCGTTCTGTTTTCCAGGATAACTGCCAGATAGAGCTCATGTCTCACGTGCGACGTGACTTGATGCGCTCGTTCGCCTCCGCTGCACGCTCGAGGCACTCTAACGCAGGGCCTCCAGAATACCATTCACCGATTTTCTTGCGCAAAACATCAAACAAACGTTTTGTTCTCTCTCTCCAGATGCAAGATCATCGTCTTTCGACAACATTTGCGGTGTAACATGCAGATACGAGGCTAAATTTTTTGGGGGAAAGTCTTTCCTTTTATAGTCAACATCAACAATGTATTTTGCTTATGACTGGTGCAGCTGGTGACAGCATAAAAGTGAAGACTTTCAAAGGAAATAAATTGTTGGCAGTTCAGCGCTGAACTGCCGCGCGTTGTTGCTGAACTGCTGCAGCGTTGTTGGCAGTTCAGCGCTGTCTTTTCTGTCCCCTCCTGTCGTGTCTGCTAAGCACTCTCTATAATTAGTCAACGCAAGTAAGTTGGTGACGAGTGTGCCTAAACTTTGAATATGTGTAAACAAACGCATTGATGGGCTTTTTGGTACTTCTCTGTAGTAACTTTCAGTGCAACAAAACGGCACGAGAAAGGCAAAAAGTTTTGTGTCCTGTCATTGTTCTCGTGTTGTTTTGCGATGCTAAAAGCTCTGTGTGAGATGTATACTTTAGGTGGATACACTTGTTGCCGGCTCGCATGCGAGGCGCATTTGACCATATAAAATAACAGCACGTGTCCATTGGTCCGGTGACAGTAGTGGGACGACGCAACTTCGAGACAAACAGTGCTTTTGTACCATTGCTATAGCAACAGACATGGTCAGCAGCGATGCCGGCAGTCACCCATTGCCGCATTTTTCGCTCACGATAAACGCAGCATACGTTTTCAGCATGAGTTGCTCGCGTGCCATAACTACATTTACTGACAAGGGAATTCCAATTTGCCATGAAGTGCCAGCACCGTGTGCTCAGATTGGGGTGCACGTTAAAGAACCCCAGGTGGTCGAAATTTCCGGAGCCCTCCACTATGGCATCTCTCATAACCATATGGTGGTTTTGGGACGTTAAACCCCACAAATCAATCAAATCAATCAATGAAGTGCCAGCAGCTGAAGCATTCTTTTTTGTCCTTGAAGTCGCGTTGCTCCGCTGATGGATACCAGCTGCTATCAGCGGACCCGTGGATGCATGCTGTTCTTACTTTATCTGGTTGAACGGATCTCAAGAGGTGTACTCACGTAAAAGATACATATCTCACACCGTGGGTAAGAGGTACCATGGATCTGTAAACCACAAATGAAGCTCTTCAATGCTATTAATGGCATCACATTCATGTTCAATTAGTGACCCCTCCCTCATTTCAGTTTGGCAAGGGCTGCATCAAACAACTACAGAGGAGACCCTTTTGTACTGACCAAAGCTGTGCCTGTGGATATGTTTCCCCACACACCACATTGCGAGCTTGTGCTTCTCATGGAGCGTCTGAAGGCATGATTAAAGCTCTTGGGCTCAAAGAGTCCTGAAAGCTTGTGTTTCGTGTTGATCCTGCGCTATTTGTGGTACGTTTAAACATTGATGCGATGTACTGTCGAATATAAGAAACAGTAGACGAGTTAACTTCTTATGCTTTATTAGGGGCAAAGCATCTTAAGGCGTGGGCTGTGCGTCTCCTGTATGTAGCTACCTCTCGTTTAGTTCTTGCAGTGTTCACTAGATAGCGGTACCATCCCCTGTATGTAGCCACCTTTCGTTTAGTTCTTGCAGTGTTCACTAGATGGCGGTACTTGTAGCTGATGATGAAAAGATGCAAGATGTTTTAAACTAGACGGCGGTACTTGTAGTTGATGATGAAAGATGCGAGATGTTATAAAATAGGAATAATGTCACATATGGCGCATGTCATTGGTGGAAAGCAATCGTTCAATTCAATGCGGTGACGTACGCTAAGGGAAGCGTTGTAATAAAATCAAGTGGGCAAAATTTATGGAGGATTCATGGTTTACCAGGTTTACCTCCGGAGCTTCGCCCACTCATCATCATTCACTTCGTGGATATGGCGGCACTTTTTTGGCGGCATGTTACAGCCATTACATAAAAGCTAAACACAAGCTTTGTCAGTTCTGTGTCATGTTTCATGAAGTGAAATTTTGTTTTCATACAGTTCAAGAAAACCATAAGCTAACAACGAAAAGCTGAAATGCTTGTAAAGGTAACTTGCTTGCAGGTTCACTTTGTTCTCATAAAACATTTGAAACATCTGTGGCAACAATTAATAATAATAATAATAAGATTATTATTATTATCTAAAAAAGCTTGGGCTTCTGTTTAGGTTGTCTTTTGTTGAAATGGCATGTGAAAGTACAGCAGCGTCATACTCCATGGATAAAAAAAAAAAAAACTTCTGCCAGAAATTTATTTGTCTATGCTGTTATAACTGGTGTCAAACAAAAAGAAAGTTTTTCTCTGCGAGACCATTTTGTTGACATTAGATTGTAGTTCGCACCAGTACCCCTCCATCTACTATAGAGGTACTAAATTATGTTCTTAGATTGTTGCAATGTGGCCAGTTGTTTTACATATTTTCGGCATCTTACTTTGAAAACGAATATGTTTACAGCGTCGCAGTGGCGTATAGGTGATTTCGATCTTTGAATCGGTTCTTGCTGCAGCAACCTCACATTGGTTACAATGTTTGGCTGCTTACTTGAAAGACAAGGTCCAATTCCTGGCACGGCAGTGTCATTTCCATGGAGGTAGCTGTAGGCTCATGTAGTGTACGATGACAGCGCACGGTGAGGGACCCGTCATGGTGGTCTAGTAGTTATTATACGTGAATGCTGACCTAAAGCAGGGGGGATTGAATTCTAGCTGCAGCAGCTGCATTGCGATGGAAGTGAAATACTTGAGGCTTGTGTGCTAGATTTAGGAGCACAATCAAACACACCAAATGGTCCAAACTTCTGGAGGGTTTCACTATAGCGTCCCTGATGACCTTAATGTGGTTTTGAAATTTAGAACTCAAACATTTATTACTAGTGCTCATTAAAGCACCTCGGCTTATTGAATTCAGTCTGTAGCCCTCCACTACTGCATGCCTCATGATCGTATTAGGGTTTTGCTTGTAAAACACCTGAAGGTATTGTTGAATGGATCAGCTTGGACCGCTCCTATGGCATGGATGTAATTAAAGTACTATGTTCTGTGCGCTACAGCTGTTGAACAGAGGTTGTCACTCAAGTGAGCGTTACAGCAAGGTTACTTACCTTTGCTAGAGCGAAGAGTGGCATTTGTTGACCTGGAAGTAATTTACCCACATTTTCTCTGGGGGAAGAAAGCCCACTTTTTCACTACCAGTCAGGGTTACCTAGGCCGTGCTCTAGAGTGATCTAGTGTGCACTATAAATCACTCACTCCAATCTTTAAAGCTCTTGATCTAGGATGATATAGAGCGTCAAAAAATGAATTTCTCGCTCTTAATATGGCCAAAATTCTCTTAAGATTGGCTGTATGAACAGAGCTTGTATGACATGTGAGCTCCGATTTCTTGAATCTTCGTCATCTCTTGGTTGATCTTTGCAGGAGTTGTAGAAGACTGGTACACTTAAACCTCAATATGAGTTACATCTGCAACGAAAATACTCTGTTATATCGAAACATTCATTATAAGCATTTATTCATAACACTGTATCTATGACAAAACTGTTCTTCACTTGGTTATAACCAATAATTTGTTACATCCATGTTTGCTGTACCAAGGTTTGAGTGTACATTTAAGAAGCATCACAAACGAGTAGTGTCATGATAATTTTTAACATTTTTTTAATGTCTATACACACTGAAGTAGTGACAGCCTCAATAATTTTACAACATAGTATTTGGCACCAAACATGCACACACTGTTGTGTCATCTTTGTCCAGTACATGCGAGATAATCAATGGACTTGCAAATTTGCAAGTGTGTGTGTATGTGTGTGCTGAAATGTGTGTGTGTGTGCAGTTTTTTTATATGTGTGTATTGTGCCTGTAAGTGTTTTTTCTAAAGACGGAATGTTGAAAACACAACTGCCAGGCCAGTGATAATGGCCAATGTACGATGACATATACAATGCACTCAGTGGACGAAAGAACACACGTGCTTGTTTGGCGAGAGTGAAGCAACACAAATCAGACACAGCTAAATGACCTTGCCACAACTAATGTGCACTAATTAAGCAATTAAATCAAAAGCACTTCTCCGAAAAATGGGTACAGCAATTGAGATTTCAGTGCCGAGGCTTCGTTAAATTTGATATGCATGGAGGAAACTGCTGTCATGAAACTGCATTTTACTGTTAAAGAAAACGTGCAGTTTACCAGCAGAGTATTTACAACAGAAGCAAATACACAGTACATGTTTCCGTCTAATCAAGCGGCGCGATTTAATGATCTTCTTTCGTATGCTAAATGCACTTGTTAAAATGGCCAGGATAACTCCCAGTTTTCTGAAGCTAGAATGCACCTGCAATAAGAGATTAACCCTATTGTGTACTAACTGTAGCCAACAGCATTGAGTTACAGGCTTAGTCGTGTTTGATGGATAAATGAAAACGAATGTTAACTGTACTGACACCACGTCATGTTTTCACCGGCCAGATGGATCGTCGTTTGATTAGTGCAACCTGCGTACTTATGCAGCTGTTGCAATATTGAACTTGACTGGGTTTCACACTATACGCACCTTGTGGGCATGCTAGAATTAGTCGTATTTTACAGAACTTTTCTGCCCTAGGAAGCCACAGTGTTTCACATAATAAAAATCCACCATTTGTTTCGTTGAAATCGCATCAAAACTGCCTGCAGAAAGGTATTTTGCAGAAAAGTAATGGACCAGTTGAAATTTTATTCTTTACCTGCCCAGCTAATTGTGATTTTAGCATATAAAGAACATCGGCACTTTGCTTCAGTGAACTCTTGCGAAATTCACAAAGCAACAGTAATATGTCGCATTAATTGCAAATGCCTGGTATACTGTACAGCCCAGGGTTCACTAAAATAGACTTTACGGACGTTTCTTTCCAGTCGATACTCGCCATTCTTCCAGCCTTGTGTCACACATTGAACTCAACAGAATAATTGGTATTTATAAGGATAAATGAAAAAAGGGGCTGGGAATCCGTATTGTACTATCATCAGGCTGTAGCTGCTCCCAACGCTCAACAGCAGCGTGCACTGCACCCAGTCTGTTGGAGCGACGTCACGTGAGCGCTGGATTGATGCGACGGCATCTAAATCTGGAGACCTTTCGTGGGACCCCACGAAATGATCTCAATGTAGTCGTGAGTAATATGAGAGGCGAGCGCTGAGCTCGCATTTCAAAGGGGTCTTGCCAAACTTTTCAAGTAATTGCGGAACATTTTCATGAAAAAAAGTTCATTGCCTCACTGAATTGACTGCCACGAAAAGATTTAGAATTTGTATAATGTGAGCGGAGCTACAAGGTTTTTGTTAAATCTTAAAACGCTTTCGCTCTTCTTTCCTACTAGCGAGCTCGCTGAAAGCTACGTGAAGGGATGGCGAGGGTGCAAAAAACGACGTCCATTCGTCAGCGCGCGTCCATTCGTCAGCGCGCGTCATGACTTTGAACACTTTTTTCCATTGAATGCGTGACTTGGTTTTAGTGTGATCGCGAACATGAGCAAGTGGCGACATCTCGCGGCGGCAGCGGTAACTTTGCAGCTCACAATGCTTAAACCAGCCAATGGCCATAAGCTTTGTGTAAATGGCACGCTCATTTGTCGAAAGAAGAGAGAGTGATTTCTATGAGAATTGAAGAATTGTAAATTTCAGGCCTTGAAGTGGGCTACAATGCTTGTCTCGCGTGTTCTCAAGAGCCTCGACTACCGATCAGTGAAGTTTTGTGACAATGCTGAAAAAGTGCTCTGTAGGTAAATGCAATGGGCTAGTGGAAACATGTTCATAACGCGAAATTTTTTAATGGAGAGGTATATCTTGTAATTCACCTTTTACATGTTCGTGCGCCACCCTAGGTCGTTTTGGTAAGGGCCGGGAGTACTCGTATTGCCGAAACAAAAGCCTGAGAGACGAAAACGTTTGCGACTTTTCTGCTAGACAAAGGGTCCACGCGCTGTGGTAATTTGGAGAAGACTGGCTATGTTGGGACCCTTTTACACCGCCGCATATTGCAAGTAACCGTTCACTAACGGGAATTAGGTGTTCTCTCTCATATTGTTCACGACTGTACTTGTCCACCGTGTGACGTGTCGCGCTACGTGTTTCACACTCAAATGTAATTTAACACAGCAATGTAGATGTAGTTATGAAAGAGGGTCGTTACGGGATTGCTGTCATTTTTCTACAGCGGTATGCATTTACAGCCATTCAGGCGTCGAAAAAATTACGCTGATTTAGTTGTTATCTGACCCCGCTACGGTCCAATTATTGTGTTTCTCTTTCGGTGTTTTCACGAACAAATTGAACAGCTGTGTATATTTGCGGGAATAGCACTTGTCGAGGTTTATTGATGTACAT